GAAGGCATGGCGAGGAGAGGGGGCTGCATGACGCTGTAGTCGGACATTGATGTTCTGAGGCTGGGAAAAGAGCAATGCTGAGAAAGCACAAACTGGCCGCACTGATGAGCTCACACCACAGCTATGCTCTTCCAAGGCCACAAGAGCCATGGAAACATCCTGGCTCCTCTCTCTCTCTCACTCTCTCACTCACTCTGTCTCTCTCTCCCCTCCCTGCAAACTGCTCCAACCCCTCAGGTTAATTGGCAACATTTTCATGTGGTCATATGGATGCTCAGCTGAAACCTCAGCAATCATGTGAAGGATCAACCACAGCATGAATGGATCATCAGGTTCTTTCAACTAGCTACAATAATTTAAAGATTCTTAGAAGAAATATACAAACCGAATTTTGCCCCAGGAGTGCTACATGCTGTCTGTACCTTGGGGTCCATAAGAAAACCGACTGGCATTGCTCTCATTGGCTAGACTGGCTAGGATGCTAAAATCTAAAGTATCAAGTATACTAAATATACTTAGTACACTACCATGACAACTGGCACTACAACTGGTCTAAATAAATACATCAATAAATACATCAATTCAAAAAACAATGACATGGACTACAGTTCAAACTTTGATCTTTTAGCTCATACAATATCCTGCGTTGGGACTGACTGGTCTAATTCAGAAGAACACAGCACCTATGGCCAGCACAGTGTTTCACTGATGATAAGGTACAACGTTTGGTTATTTGGTTGTCTTCTGGATTCACACTCACTGTCAGGGCTTCACAAGTTGACAGGCTCAGTTTGCCCATTGAGAACTGCCTCTTTCCTTCCCTGTATTGTCCTGCATCCTGTAGGCCCTGGCCACCTTCACCATTGCCATTGCCACTGCAGCAACAGCCACTGATTGAGCATTTAGTGCACATTATCAGTTTTGCATGTGTTTTTTTTTCAGTGCTGTTATCCATTGTAATGTGTCCACAACCTCATCTACATTATGTCCCCTGTCACTGATTGCTAAACACTTTAAAGAGGGATAGTTGCTTTTGCATGGGATACAATGCGCTGCACTCATTGGAACTGAAAGGAGCTTCTACAGTTGGATGTACTAGATTCCACTAGTATTTCACTCACCTAGACTCTTGATCTACACTGTTCTTAACCAATACAGATTCAAATGATGACTGCTGTGGTGTGTGTTTCACCAGCCACAACTCATTTCCTGCTGCATCACTTAATAGGGTTTGATAAAGTGACTGAGCAGGGAATTTTAAGGTTACGTCATATGTTTTCTCTTATGGCTTGGATTTGACAGCCTGGAAAAACAGCTGTTTGCCAGCCAAAAGCATAAAATGCCTTTGATTTGGAACAAGAGCTTCTGACAAAATATGAAAGTCTAAATGTTGCCACATTTTCTAATGATCACAAAAATAAAGTCTCAAAATGATGGCTTTCGACAGAACTGTGGACCAACCTTCTGAGTTCTACTGAAGACAAGTTCTATTAAAGTAGTTGCTAAAGTGTCTGCAGGGCCAGAGAAGACCAGAGAATCTGGGATCCAGTCTGATATTTTTCAAATACAGTGAAGAGGAGACTAAACAATCTTCTACTTTGAGTGCACTTAAGTGGATCATAACGCTTTCGACCCTCCCTTTTTTATCCCCCCTCGCTTTCCATATTTCTCTCTTTCTATCACCCACCACTTAGCTCTCCCTTTTTTTGCTTTTATTAGCCATTTCCTTTCTCCTCAGCCGTGAGCAAAAACGCTCATGTTACTCCCTAAAAAAAAGAACACTTTTATGTTGCACGCACACACACACACACACACGTTGGTATTCTTGTCTTTGTGAGGTATTCCCTCTTCCTTATGTACTATTACTGTAGCTAAATGCTGCTGCGCTAAATCAGCCTCCCTGACCTTTACCTCAGGAACCAAAAGGAAATCTTTGGGATCTTTTGCCTTTTACAATATTTTATCTGTCAATGTAACTTTTTCTTGTAGGGAGCAGTCACAAGTTGCCACAATGTCCGGTGTGAGTTCTATTCCTCAAACTGCTTTCTATTATTATAGTGACGTTTCGTCCCCACAGAGAGCTAAATACATTACTCCACGCGCGCACACACAGCACCGACCTGTTTCCAGCTGAGCCGAGGAGGAGGAGACGCGCGAAGGTCTCGCGAGAGCTGCTTCACCATAGCCTGGCGATAATTAAAAACATCCAGTAATTTTGTCGCTCTTACTCGACAGAGACATGAAGTCTGCTGGCATACCAGCGCTCCCCCCCGGATAAACAACTCCCAGTGGAATCTGTACACAGCTTATTTGTTCTGTTCGTTTTTCGTTTCTCGGATTAATATTTTCTTTTCCCAAATCCCAAATTTTTTCCACCAGGAGGTGAACGTGGAGATTGCTTGACATTGTATACTATCAGTGGAGGTGTTATCATCAATGTATTTCTCAAACGTGGCGTACAAAATACTGCTATTGGGTGGAGACCAATAAACCAAAAAGACTTTTTTATGGGATTTCTGGCCTGATACAGCATTTGGTAGCTATAGTATTGCCGCGTGATATTAAAATCCATATTAATATGTAATAAAATATAATGGATGATAGGTCAGCCATAAAAGAGATTCACAAGGGTAAACCAGAGAAAAAGAAAGAGGCTCACAAATGCTTTTCTCACTCTCAGTACCTTTTACACATTTATGTAGGCCAGGGGAGCCCAAATCTGTTCCTGGAGGGTTAGACTCCATCTGGTTAATTACCAGGTTTAGTAGATGTGTTTGACCAAACTGTGGTAGGCTCTGGCCCTCTGGGGCCTCAGTTGGGCTCCACTAAAATAAGTGCTTCACTGTAAATACAAACTTGTTTGAAATTCCAGGTCTGCTTATAACTGACACAAATGGAGAAGACTAGAAAGACTACTTAAATACCAACAAGCCAAAACCTAAATCTAATCTGTGTATCAAACATAACCAGTAGTACATTGGTCCTACATAATCTATAGTTCTTTTATCATCTGTGATGTTTTACAGATTATGTGTATTCAGGCAAGCTTTCTGCAGGTCAGTGGAACGTTGTATCATAGAAAAAAGTAATAACAAATAAATAAAGTGATACTAGTCTAAAGCTTCTAGATGTAACTGTCAAACAGCCAAGCTAAGCGGGCTCAGTGGCAGGAGTGGATTCAGCTGGTGAATGTTAGCAGCAGAAGTCTGACAGTAATGTATTTTCCCAGCAGTGGCAAAATGAAGATGAAAGGATCTCTCAGTCTCAAACAAATGACTTACAAGTGTCGAGAATAATGCTTCAATTATGCACGCAGACACTACCACACATGCACACACACATAGGCGGCACCAGAACAAAGAGAGGACATGAGGCAAGGGCTCTGACACTAGTGCCACTGTCATACTTCCCTTTGGCAAGGTCAGTGAAGCCTGTCTCCCCTTTCTGGAAAGTCTAACAGAATTAAGCTGCTCTTTTAAGATTTTCCTAAGCTCACCTACTGCCCCCAGCTGTTGTGGCCTGCAGAAAAAATTTATTCAACAAAGCCTTCATAAAACCTCTAATGACTGTGCACATAGCACCCCTTAGTGGTTGCTGGGAGAAAATGTTAAGTTTAAGGTCATCTGCTACAATCTTCATGCACAAAGAACCTGAACCAGGTATCAGGTGTTAAATTGCCTTGTGTAATGTTTTAAAAGGGGGATGACCTGGGTCCACATCATGCTCCTTTTGTTGCAAAACTCGAACATGCTATTCCCGATAATTTGGGACAGCCTGCTCCAAAACTGCTCTATATAGGCTACTGGAAGATGACCTGCTTGCCAGATAGCTGTTCAAGGATTTCTTTGAGTTTTTCCCCCACTGCACAAGCAATACGCGTCTACTGGAGAGATAGAGGAAGAATAAAACAGAAAGTGGTGACAGCGTATTCCCTGAAAGAGAGAGGATGACACTTCTTGCAGAGGTGAGGTGAGACTGATGCATCTGATCTGCACGCACTGTGTTACAGCACATCATTCAAGCTTAAATCATGAATAGATTCAGTTGGAAAGCCAATTTCTGGCACTGCAAGTATACATGCATAAGACTGTTACCTGTTACTTAACTATCTGTGGAGTTACAGCAATGATGCACAAACTGTTAATGCATTTGAGAGACCTGTAATACTGTGCAAGTTTTAGGCACCTGAAAAAAAATTTAAAAAGCTATTTATCTGAGCAGTAGGCATTTATTCGCACGGAAAAACATTAATACAGTAAGTAGCAATTTTATGTATCAGTGTGCTGCTTATGTCTGATCCACTCAGACCAGCGCAACACACACTTACACACCATAACCACAATAGCGCTGAGAATGATCCACCACCCAAATAGTACCTGCTCTGTGAGGGTCCACGGGGGTCCTGACCACTGAAGAACAGGGAAAAGGGGGCTAACAAAGTATGCAGAGAAACAGATGGACTAGTCTGTAATCGTAGAACTACAAAGTGCACCTATATAGTAAGTGGAGCTGATAAAATGGACAATGAGCGTAGAAACAAGGAGGTGGTCATAATGTTATGCCTGAGCGGTGTAGGTTAGGTGATAGTTCCTCAACCCTGGTTCTAAAATATTCCCTGCCCTGCACACTTCTGTGCTTCTCTGAGCTCCATCCAAAGCCACATTCTACTACACACCTTTAATGTAACTACACTATTTTTGACATACTATATAGTATGGTAGTATGCAGCTTTGGATGCAGCCCTGCTCTAACACCGCTTAGCTCAGGAAAAGCTTATTAATTAACTGATTAGTTGGGTCAGTTGTGCTGGCAGAAGGGAAAACCTAAACAGGGGTACTCTGGGACCAGGGTTGGGAACTGCTCACTTAAACTATACTGTACAGACCTGCTCATTTAGTATAAAATGTTTTTAATCCCACTCCTGGTGACCCACAGCACAGGGATGCACAAATTACAGGCCTACTGCTACTGGGCAAATAAAGTGAAGAAAAAGAGAGCAGTTTGTGTTCCACAATATTTGATTTATTATCCTGAATACAGCCCCTGTGTCACAAATTCAACATAACCAGAATATATCTTCAGAATATATAATCTTAAAATAAGAGACAAAATTAAAAGGGACCAAAACACGTCATGAGATGCATTAAAGAGACTGTTGTTAATCATGTCCACTCTTTGCAAGTGACAGTGGTTTGAAATTCAGAAATCCATACCAATGAAAAAAACTACCCTTTGCCCAATAACTTCACTTTTCAGTGTTCTTCCATAGCTTATTAACATGTAATAACTATGTTAGCTTCTCATTATTACAGTGTTCTTTTTCCAGATGACTCAAAATTAGACTCACAAGCAGATAAGTGATTAAAGTTTAGCGAGGGCTTGCTTAAGTGTTACATGGGCTAATCACAATTCATTACATCACACCTGCTGCAGTTCTAACAAAGTGGGGAACAATGGTTAATTCTTATCAGTACAATACAGTGCAGGTGTACAAATTTTAAACAGTGAGAATAATCTGAAGAAGCACATCAGGGCCTAATGGCATAATGCAGAAAATCCTCAAAGGTTCATTGCATTATACAGTAACGCACATTTAACATTTAGCAATGTGTGTATAGTGAGCTCATAAATGAAATGACAGAGAGAGTCCAAATGAGAGAGAGAAAAAAGAAAGAAAACATACAAGCAAGAGATAGAGCTCAGGATGTTGGGTCACTTTTTAATGCACCTGACATGGTTTGAATTTAGAACAGAACAGGGCATCTATTACATGTCAGAAAGATACCGCACTGAAACAAACTGCTATTTTGTCAAATACAGATATTTAAAAAAAATAATAATAAAAAAAAAAGAAACACCAGCCAGCCCCTCCCCCCCATGTGATACTACAGGCAGACTACAGGCACACTTTAGTAATCCTTAGAACAATCATCAGTGAGGGGTACCAACACACCCAATAAATTCAGCAAACTAACAATTTATTACATCTGTTTTACTTTTTTTCCCTCCAAAATATTTGTAAGTTTTCTTTAGCATGCTGTCATATATGTATCTTAAATTTAGTTTTGGTGTCCAGTCATAACTCAAAAGGAAAAGATCTGCAAGACCTTGCCTTTTCTGCCATGCCTTTTTTTTTGCCTACAAGAAAAGAAAAATGGTTCAGAAACATAAAGCTTATGGTCAACGTAATGTTACTGGAGGAGAGAGATTTGTGCACTCAATCTTAAAACAGAATTTCACACAGTGCCTCACATTATAAGCATTTCTTTTTTTTTTTCCCGAGAAGCTAAACTATTAGAAATGTCCAATCCTGCCTCTGCACTGCTGTCTGTTCATGTGTGGAGTGAGTCAATTTTCTTTTTTTTTTTTCTCTTTTTTCTCTGATGACTTACGAGACATTTCTAGGAGAGTAAGGTTTAAGACATAGGGTCAAAAACAATCATTTACAATTAATTGCTGTACGTCTGTCCTTCCGGCGGTTGAGGAAGCTTCATATTCTCTTTGGACATCATAAGACGCCTTAGCTCTTGAAGAACGACTTTAATGCTATAAGAATTTTGCCATTTCGCTAGAATTGGTATGCTACGTGCATCCACCTGAAACAAAAGGGGAACAGGAGAAGGGGGTGAGACAGGTTGCATATTTTTAAGGAGGCAAAAGAAGAAATTAAAAAAAAAAAAAAAAAAATTATTCAGATGATACTTAGCAAATTAGTAAATGCTTATTTACTCTTCTTTTACTAATTTAAAAAAAATATCCTGTAATCAATGTTAGTACTGTTAAAATATACATTTGTAAAAAGGCCAGGCAAACATTGTAAACTAGTTTGATTTTTTTTTTAATTCACAAGAGGAAACCAGTGAAAATAAATAAATAAAAATGTGGACCCAGAAAACCAGGGTGACTGAAAGTTAGTTGTTAAAAATGCAAATCAACTGTTTTGCACTATATATATCCAGTACAGTGCTGCGCAAACCATTTGAAGCTTTCTTTGATTTCAACAAGTATTCAAAATTTGTCCCCCACATCTACATAAACCAATCCAGGTCAATCCTTACTGACAACAGTCCACAACAATATCAATCTGTGCCCAGAAAAACAGCCCTAAATATTAAAGATCTAAACAAAGAAAAGTAAATCTTAGGACTACTCACCATTCCATTGGAATTATTTATTCCATTCATGCTAATTTTTGTTACAAATCTAACAGTCGGTGGTACTTCAGGATATTTAGGTCCACACTCCACTTTCAGGCTGTATATCCTGTTTTCATAATTAGTCTGAGAGACAAAAACAAAAAAACATTTTTAAGCACTGATGAAGAAACAGGAGTTTTGGCAACTGCTGATTAATTGTAGAATAGTGATTACAGAAACAACCACTCATTCAACAAATGTTTTATTTAGTAATTTCCTAATTTAAATATATATAAAAAAACAAAAAAAACAAACACATTTTTAACATAGATGTAATATGTATATTTCAACTGCATAAGCAACTTAAACAGCCTACATTTTCTTCAGGAGTGTCAGCGAATGTTTTCCATACATCTCATGGCTATATATACACTCTTGCAGCATTCCTGACAGTTCCTAATCTGTGTTCTTTAGAACATTCGCCATGATGAACTTTGGCTCAGGAATAATTTCATTCATCATATTTCAGCCTCACCCTCTAAACTAGATAGTTACAATGCAGTGATTAATTGCAGTGATTAATGGCTATTACTGCTAAGACCAAAACTGCACAAAGTGACACTGTCACTTGATTAAAAGCTACATGCAAGATAACAAGTCATCCATAAATGCTAATATGTGACCACCTGAGATGGCAACAAGCTTTTGTTCATTACATTTTTTTGTTCATTTTGTTCATGTATTTTGGAGTAGAGCAAGGATATTGTAGAAGAGCTGAAGAGACTTCTATTTAACGCTAATCTGAGCACAGGTATTCTCATGTACTTACTGAATAAGTGATACAATTAATCTGTTAAAACTCCCTGATGTCTTCAAAAAGGCAAGCCAGACAATTCCACACCCACTGTTATTATCAATTTGCAAGATTAATGGTTTGGTTCTTACTGTTCACCATTAAAGCAGCTCTAGTAATGCAGTTCTGGATGTTACCATATTATGCAAACAGGAAATGACTATGTGCTGCCTGCCCTATTATTACTTACACATAATGAATTGCATGTAAACCGAGCACCACCACCCTGCAACAAGAGTGGTCAATTTAACATTTATGGAAAAAACCATCTTAAGTAGTACATACCTTTGTTGGCAAAGCTTAGGTACAAACTTAAGTGTCACTTTAGCATTTTATTAAAGAGTGGCCTCAGTGGGGAAAGCGCTCAACCCAAAACTGGACAGACAAGCCAGATGACTAACACAGAGCATCCAATAAACCTTAAGCAAAACACTATTTCTCATTAGCCATTTGATGGGCTGTTTCTTTCAACATATGAATTGGCATAAAGTGGGTCTAAAAAGTAAGCTTACTCGCGCAGGCCCAATGATCATTCCTGTCCACCGTGTTAAAGTCATGTCCTCGTCATCCTCCAGACCCCAGCTTACTGTGCCATCACCAACACCCTTCTGCCCCTCTTCCAGCTCCTCCAACAAACGAAAATTGCGTGGAACTTTAACTCCTGTAAAAAGGACATAAATCAACATGCAAATCATGAAATAAAACATACATTATAATTAACTGACAGGACAAAAACAGAACACTAGAATATTTGATGGCATCCAATAACAGTGACTTGAAGTGCATTGCAAAATACCTGTCATCAGAGTTACAGCTAATCATCCGATGAAACCATATTTACAATAGGCAGGTGTCAGAGCAACAGATCCAGTGAACATTTTGTACTGGTGGCAAAACATAACACTCTCTTAACGTAGTCTTAAAAATTAGGCTGTTACTAACTTAAAATTCCAAAGTCCACTACCAGAGAAGTGAGAACCCTTTTACTAGTTTGAAACAAGTTATCATGCAAAGCAGAAATTAAACTATAAATTAAGACATTTCAAGAGTATTACAGGCCAGTGTGACTAACGTGATTTCGAAACCCAGCTGATTTTATAAAAGGTGCTGTTACAGAACGCAAGCCATAGCGGCCTGTAGAAAGGCAGCTAACTAGTTAAAAACACTGGGTGAGGCACGTTCGTATTGAAAAAAGGTGGGGTGAGGTGGGTTGCACAGTTAAGTACAACGAAACTCTGGTCTAACGTGTAAAATATCACCGGAATGCAATCGTACTAGTTTTGGTAGCTGCTAACTACGTCTGAATGAAAAGTGTCCTTGCCAGATCTCACTTCCTCAAATTTTGATAGCGTCAAGGAACTTAGCTAGCGCAGCTAACAAGCTAACTTACATTTGAACTGTTTATTTGTGCGCGGGCACAAAAGCTGAAAAGCCAGACTGAACTACCTAGCTGGGTACATGATTGCAAAATGACTACGGGCGTGTCCTAAGCACAGATGCAAGTTAATTCTATGTGCAAGAATACGGTCATGTGTCGTCGCTACGAAAGCGGCGGACAGCATGGCCATAGTAGAACTAGCTAGCTAAGCTAAGCTAAATTAGACAACAAAACACACACGGCTAGCGGGCTAACGTTAGCGGAATTACAGTTTCAGCAGACTAACCAAGTTGTTAAGTTTCTCCTGTAGTGCACAGGGTATCAACGGGTGGGCTAGAAACATAGAAAAAGAGAATTTAAACGAAGAGTCATTTTGTCATTTGACAGCAAGGCATAGCTCCTGTGCTTGCCGTGCTCACGGCTACCCGCCCAACACATAACGCGTTAGTTAGCTTAGCCAACTAGCTAGGCGTCGAGCTTGTTTTTGCGCGATATTTTGGTCTGCAGTGCTGCAACATTTGTAGTTCGTGGCGCAGGGTGAACTCACGATGTGCCACACGTCTGTGCTTTTACATTTTATTTTTTGCTTCAACAGCTGTAGCATCTGAATGAGTGAACTAAACGATCCCAAAATATTTAACCCACCAATACTACTAGCTAACGTTAATGCGGCTAGCGCGAACCTCCCAACTGAGCTCACACTGATGTCAGGATGGCACACTTAACAGAAGGAACTAAGTAAACAAAAAAAAAAACCTAGGCATCTTGCGACCGCTCTGACTAGACAGATTTTGGAACTTAAGTGCGAAATAACTGCCCCTCTGTTTCAAAAGTAACCTTCGGCGAAAAACATGCGAAAGATTAGTTGCGATTTTACATATTGTGAGACAAACCTGAGGAGGCCGCCATCTTCTCCAGCCAAATCCAGAAGCGCACGATAGCATGACATCAGGTCACTTGACTAAAACGTCACCAGCACTGCATTAAGAAGGACGGGGTGTATGAGGGTCCTGCAAAATAAATCTACTTAACCATTACCAGAGATGGCTCTAACTACACTCACTCATTTCCATGTACTTAAGTAATGTTATAATTTGGACGGATTTGTATTTTTGTCTAAGTATTTTCATTCTCATTCAGTTTCATTTTTACTGTACGATATTGATGACAGTGGCCGGACTCCTTGCTGTTGCTCACACCGCTCACTCTTAATTAATTTTAGACCAAAAAAGAAACACTGCGTCTAAAAAAGCGCCAGTTTTATGGAGGTTCACTGCAGCTGTATTAGTAACTTGTACAGTACTTACGTTTCTTTGAGCTGTTATTTATTCATAGCTCTTACTTATTTCTTTAAAGTAAAAATACTTTTTACAAAACTGTTTTAAGGGAATTATGTTGCTGCATGAATCACCTGGATGTCCAAGTTTACCCCAGATAGGAAAAAAACAAACAAAACGATCAAGTCCCTCTATGTTCTGCTACTAAACGGTGCAGCGCTTGTTTCCTAACACGTCCAAGTATACACTATATGAGCACTGCGCGGAATTCACTTACTTGGAGCACGTGGGCACAATGTTTTTTAACCCCGGGTTTAGGGACCCACATCCCTGCATAGTTTCAACGATTCCCTGCCTCAACACACCTGATTCAGCTCATAAACTTATTAGTCCCTTCCTGAGCTGGTGCAGGTGGGTTGGAGCACGAAATAGTTTAAATGGTGCAGAGCAGTGGGTCCCCAGAATTAAGAAACACTGACCTTTGACTAGAGCAGTGGTTTTCAATTTAAGTTTTTGGGATCAACTGCCTTACACAATTTCACCCATTCCCTACTCAGACACATCTGAACAAGTTAATCAGGTAATTATCACACTTTCAGATGCATAGAGTCCTGAAAGTACCTGAAACTGTACAGGGTAGGGGGAGCCGAGGACTGACTAGAAACCAAAAGTTCCACTCATTGGAACAATTTAAAATACTCCCTGCCCAGACTCATCTGATATAGTTTACAAGAGGTCTCTCCTACCGTTTTAAAAAGTGAGTTGAACGTCTTGGTGAATGTCCATATGTGGAGGACTTTGTGCCCCATTTAACAGGCAAATTGTGACTCTCTGGCCTACAATAGCAGAGTGCTAAATGTCAGAGCAGTTTTCAAAATATATCCTGAACAAATCCATTCAATTCTGCATTAAATCCTCTTTGTCCATCTTTTACAAAGGCCAAACCTAAGTTTACCTAGCTGTCCACCACTCACACAAAACACACACACGTAAACCAGAAATTCACTATTTCATTCACTCAATTGTTGGTGAAAATGCCATGTGGTTAAGAGTAAGCATGCTACACAAATATTTAGCTTTAGTCTGTTTTTGAAGTAAGTTTAAAAACTTAGCATTCTGGGCTACTTTCATCAGACATGTTCTCATTGAAAACAGGGTTATAATAACTGGTCTACTCTAAAAAAACATCACATCAAAGACTTCACAAATCTTGTAATGGTATTTTAAACAAGTCAGTTATGTTTGTCAAAGGAAAGGGAAACTTGAGTATATAAAACACACCAGATTCAACCAACAACTATTTATTGCAGACCACAATACATATTCATGCAAGCACAATTATTGTTTTATAGTCAAACAGGGACAAAACCAGTTTATCAGGAGAACAAATTCATCTTTTGTGCATATTTACAGCAGACGGACAGTCTTCCCTGTGACTGTCAAGTAGTCCTCATCAGTGAGTGCTCTGAGTGCCTCATCAAACATGTCCTTGGTGATGGCCTGGAATTTGGGGGAAAAAAAAAGCTTACTGATAAGATGGTAGTGCATCTCAGGTCATTTTTGAACAGTTTCTTTATTCTAATGCTGTTCCTATTGATGCACATTTTGGCCTATAGTCATTTAAATGCAATCAGAAAAAAACTTGCAAAAATATTAGTATGAAGACTACAGTTTAAACCTATAAACTGCATTTATATTTATTCTATTAGCGAATCAAACCATGTCAAATGAATTAACCAATAGGAGAGTTAATTCCAAAAGCAGGAAACACTTACAGCCTCTGACTGGCCACGGAGATCATCAAACAGCTGCTGGTACTTCATGGCCGGCATTTTGCCCTTTGACTGGATAAGTTTCTTCAGGGCCTGTGCCACTTCCTCTTTACGCTTACGTGCTGTGGAACTCATACCTACACACAGAAACACCAAAACACACAGCTGCTACAACATTGCAATATTCAAATACAGAAAATACATGATGTATAAAAATACATATTTTTAGCAGGTGGATAACCTTTATTTTTTGTTTGCATTACATTAGTGCAGTGGCTCCCAACCTGATCCTGGAGTACCTCAGCCTTATGTATTTGAGCATTTTCCTTGCTTTTGACACTAATTCAGGACTTAATTAGTTGGGTGGGGCTGGGAACCACTTTAGAGAATAACCCAGTACCTGTGGTGAGGATGGAGATGTCCACAAAGCCTGTCCTGGGATCTGTGGCAGACTGTTTAAGGGCTTCTCTGTGGAGCCTCTTGGCCTCCTCCACATCAACGGTCTCCACTTTGTCTGAGAAGCGGACTTTAGCATGGGCCTCAGCCAGCCGGATCAAGGACTCCAGCTGCCGTGGGTAAGCAGACACCATACCCCTACCACTGCCAATTTTCCTCATGTCCACATAGGCCTGGAGGACACATTAAAGTTACAGAATTCAAAGCTCAAACTTTACTGGTAAACCCAGAATCTTACATGAAATCTCATCTTAAGTGCAAGAAACCTCTGTAGCTGTTTTAACACACCAGTCAGCTGAGTACCAAGCCTTGCATGAGACAAACTAGGCGTAATGGGACAGACTAAAACTAAACTCTGAAGTGCTACGACTTTCCACAGCCACAGTTTGACTTGTGATTATCACAGTTGTGAGGATACTGAGGCTCTTGATACATCAGTTAGTTTATTATTATTATTAGGGTGGGAACAAACCAAGTGAGCTTTCTAAACCAATTTATTGCCTCAGGAAGGTGGAGCTCAAAGTAGGGACAATAGTGCACTTGTTGACATTGTCTGTCAGACAAGCCAGTCATTAGGGTCACAAACTAGCATAGGCAAAAGGCCCCAAGAAAACTTAAGTTTTTTTTTCCCCCAAGTAGTTCGGGCTTTTTAGAGGGCGAAGATTTTAGCACAATGCAGACCCAAAATTTCAACAAGTTGACCCTAGATGTGTTCTCATTCCGAGTTCAGATTATTCTTAAGAGACTAGTTTTACTCCAGACTGAAAGTTGACTTTTGTTCATACCTCAATAAGTGCCTGGCTGGCTTCTTCACTGAGTCTTGGGTTGATGTATGTGCGGGCATAGGCGATATAATCCTTCAGAACAGCCATGTCCAGATACTCCTCCTCTATTTGCTCCTCACTCTGGTAGTAAAGAGAAACCAGGTGGTGTGCAAGACGCCTGTCGTACGCCTCATCCTGAGGGTCCAGCATCAGGAAGATCAGATCAAACCTGATTGAGAGAAGAGAGCAAGAAACTGAATTGTTAACAAAAATGTAAACGTAAATCTTGCAAAAGGTGGGAGAAACCCAGTCGTGCAGTTGAGTATCAACTAAGGAGGAGAGTATACTTCGTTTGACACGATCTGGTGCAATAAATGTATTCACAGTTATAAAAAAAAAAAAGTCTCAATTATCACCATCAATTATGAAAATATTTTGTATTCCTCCACTCTGGAGGTGGTGTATGTATATTTTGGGGAAGAATGGGAATTACTGACCACTAGTGGAAATAACAGGCTAGGCAGAATTAACTGGAAATGTGACTATTGCCTGTTCAAGACCGAATCCAATACAAGCACAGAGCACAGTTTGACATTTTTTAAATATCAAAGGCTTTATACGTAGGGACTTAACACATGCAAACATTAAGCAACATAAAAATTAAACCTTAAGTATTTATGAATAGCTGTCAGCACAAAAGATGTTCTAAGAAGCAATACATACGTCGTCATTCGTTATTAAGAATGCCATATATCAGTACTTTGGAAGGCCCTAAAACTGAAGTGATATGGTTTTAAATAAATAAATAAATAAATAAATAAATAAATAACACTTCAAACAAAATCTTATCGTCAATAAGTCTTAGGACATAGAACTGATATGGTGTTCTTGATTAGGACATTCCATTACTTTGGAATAAGGCTCCATAACTAAACAGAACAACTCTCCATCATTTTAATTAAAAGATATGCCAGTACTAGCTAATTAATACAATAGCTTGTGTCATCATGTGAACACTGACATAAGTTATTCATAGTATGCATTTTAAATGTTATTAAATATTCGTGCATATGTTTTGAAGTCCCTATGCAGGTTGCCTTCAAATAAAGTGTCAGAAAATGCTTTAAATATATATAAGTTCAATGTATTTTTGGCACTGCTGGAAGACCTAACCTAATCAGATGAGCATGGGATAACCAGGGCATGGATGTGACAGTGTCCACATCGCCTACATCACACAGATTTTAGTCATACTGATTTATGATGAATGCATGTATTTTTTGTAATCTGATAAAAAAAACTGACAAATTAGTAATGTGTGTACAGATTGCTTTAGTAGGGATTTTATATACACATTTTAATACACATGACCCATGAATTACACCATGACAGGAAGCAATGTTTGAATGTTTAAATTATGGTGGTATTACTTTCCTCTCAGCCCCATGTAGCCACAAATACACTTCTTGAATTTACATTTTTCTGTACTCACGAATGCTGGTGTGTGCTGCTGTAACACCAAATAACTTGCAAATATTTTCGATAGTATGTGAATAGGATTAAGGCAGAGATAATTTGCAGCACATAGGAGGCTAGCAAAATAATCCCTAGCACCTATCTAATCCATGAAAATCTGAAAGCTTGTCCTTGGACCATGTTTACCTGGAGAGGAGTGTGTGAGGGAGCTGGATATTCTCAATGGTTGTCTTTTTGGGGTTCCACTGTGACTCCACTGGATTGGCTGCTGCTAGGATGGAGGTCCGTGCATTTAGCTGACAGATGATCCCAGCCTAAACCACACCGGAAAGCACAATTCAGCATGTGACTCATGCTCATTAAGTCCATTTCCCATCAAACCTAGGCTCAGTGCTATTTAATTGCACATCAATTACAATATTTTACACTACAAAATAGGGGTGCGGGAAAAAAAAAAATCGATTCTTAGATGCATCGCAAAGCGGACGTGGACGACTCTGAATAGATTCACAAATGTCAAATCAATTTGCTAAATATTTAATATATAACGTAATGTTGACAGAACGCATAAGACAGAACTTGGAAGTGGGAAAGTGCAGCGCCCGGACAGTCTGTGGCGGCACATAACAAAAACACTACTGGATGAGTGAGAAATCCGACCGGCTCCCTCTGCATTAAAGCCAGGTTAGATGAGGAGTCACAACCCAAATGTTAAGAGCCATTTTGTCCTTTCAACAAAAATCAAACCACCTTGGGAGCCACAACATTTAATGTCCAGTGTGTGTCAGTATGTGATAATGTCCTAGTATAGACTAAACAACATAAACGAAAACGCAGATTTACTTCGATCTGCTTTAGCTCAGCTACAGCCGCTTTCCTCCCATCTCCTCCAGAAAACTTTTCCTTAGAAGTTGATCAGTTAAAAGTCTCTCAACGACTGTCTTACGAGGCTGAAGTCGCTTCTTATTCGAATTTTCCCGTTCCACCTTAAATTCTAACTGAGGTGCCGAATGTAAATGCGGCACCATTTAAAGTGGAACGGGAGAATTCGAAAGAGAAGCTGACCTCAGCTTCGCCACTTTTTAGTGTTCGACAGTCTCTCGTTGAAGATTTAACATACCAGGAAACCAACTGCGCTGCTTATAAATGCAAATAACGCATCGCTGCTATGTGACCTGCAGTCTGCACGGCCGTTCTCAGTCGTTGCGAAACAGGGCTTTCGCGCTATGTTGCACACGTCCCGTCTCAAAGATACTTTACTGACACAGTGATCCCCCCGTCTCTACAACGAGACCAAAACCGAAGTTATAAAATCACTAAAGAAAACGGGTTGAATAGCTGTAACGTGCTGCATGGACATCCATCACCACTGGATCTTATTTCACCGTAACTGCGCATTTTATCGCAGATGAGTAGCAGCAGCTTCTCGTGTTCCAAACAAGAGCAGTGAATGAGAGCCTTCTAGTTCACTTGCCACATCACTTCCATTTGTTTTATTAAAAAAAGATATTGGGAGTAAATTCATTATGGACCATTACAAATACTTTGCTTTAAAAGTACCAAGTCACTTTAAATAACAACACCGAGTCACTGAGTTACTTTAAACTGTATATTGTCTCTATATTTTCTGTATATTTTGTGTATATTTAATATAATTCAGTTGATTTTTCTTGTATTTATTTTTACTTATTTACTTTCTGTAGAGTGATAAGCTGAGCCTCACCACAAGCATTTCAATGCATAAATGTCCTGACATGTGCAAATGACAAACTTGAAACTTGAGCTGACAGTGAGAAAATATAAATGCTATATAGAAAAAGATCCATCGAGATGCATCAATAATCATTTTATAATTGCATCGCAGCCCTCTGAATCGTAATCGAATCGTGAGGTGCCTAGAAATTCCCACCCCTACTACAAAACCTCGAGCTCCTCACCACAGGAAAGGAAAGAACATGAAATATTTCACATGATCTACAAAGTACAGACAAAGAGGGCCTTGCCTTAGCGATGGAGAGAGTTTGCTGCTCCATGACTTCATGCAGCACAGAGCGGGTACTGTCACTCATTTTGTCGAACTCATCAATGCAGCAGATTCCATTGTCACTGAGAACCAGCGCACCAGTCTGCAGCACCAGCTGCCGAGTCTCTGGGTCCTTCATTACGTAGGCAGTGAGACCCACAGCGCTCGAACCCTTGCCAGAAGTGTACTGTCCACGTGGCACCAGATTGTACACATACTGCAGAAGCTGGGACTTGCTAGTGCCTGGGTCACCACACAGCAGGATGTTGATCTCAGCACGGAAGTTGCCACGGCCTGTTTGACTAAAGTCTTTCCGTGTTCCACCAAAGAGCTGTAGCAGTATTCCCTAAAATGTAAAATAAGTGTTCTCACCACTCGCTAAGCACATAAAAAGCCTAAGACAGCAATAGTTTCATAAAGACTAAATATCTTCTTCCTTGCTGTTCATACAAATTAAAAAACAACTTAATTCTCATTCTTGATTTAATGCCCTGCTAAAAAAAAACTAACATCTTTGCTTTTTTAATAAGATTTTTGAAAAATTGTTCACTGACAATGAGACTGAATACATTCTATACAACAGTTAGCTTTTGAGTCACATCTTCAATACTTCAAAGCCTCAAATTTAGCATACGAGACATGAATACCAGCCACTTTCAAGTGTTGCGTTCATGAGGGTGACAGATTTATTGTTACAGGTTACACAAAACATGATCTGCTACAACTTTACTCAAACTGCCACCAGCTAAATCCTACCTTTTTGATGTCCTCATGCTCGTAGATGCTAGGTGCAAGGGCCGAAGAGAGCCGTTCATAAACATCTGGCTTAGCAGCAAGCTCTTTGAGCATAGCCACCCGCTCTTCTGTAAAAAGCTTCTGCTCGTTCTCCTCATCCAGGCCATGCAGACGACGCTCATCTGTCTTCCGGAAGTGGATAGCATCGATGTGAGTCTTGTACACTGACTTCACTTGGCTCTGCCGTGGGTTAACACGCATGGGCGCTGCTCTATAAATTCCTGATTTTAAAAGTAAACAAAATAAAAAACAAATATACCAGTTTAATAAGGCTAGACCTGGACATTGAGTGCTTCTTAAGCCAAATTTCATAGTTTTTCCCCACAGCTGGATTACAAAAGGAGGATTTGCATTTTAAGAGCCTGAGGTAAAATGGTGGCATGCACAAATTTTTGCAGATTAGATAACACTGGTACAATAGGACAGAACACACCTGTGATATTGACACGATCTCCCGGCTGCACTTTGTCCACCAAGTCATTGTGTGCATACACCACTGTGGTGTGGGGTGTCTGACCAGCCGGCATATCCTCTGGAGACTCCTGAAGTTTGATCTGCCAATCAAAAATGAACAACACATGTAAACTCACCAAATGTGAAATAATTTTATGACATTCCACCACAAATAACTTGTGCAGGGGCTCTTAAAACTTTTTGACACAAAAGAGGAAATTGATAGCCAACAGAGAACCAAGCAAAATTAGTCATAATTATTAGCCAAAGTAGTCAAAATTGTCATAATTTTACTATATAGCAAAGTAAATCTCATTTAAAAGTTTGCAATTGCACTAGCTGATGCAAAAACTGCTCTGTAAAAACTGTGATTACTTGTAATTCCATATCTCATGATATGTACATGTCAGTAAATTCTACTTTCACAATTTCTTAAAGGTCTTAACTTTATTTTAGTATATGTAAAAAGACTTGCTAAAGGTGTAGACAGACCTAACTGCAGTGAGGTTACAATGACCTTACATCTCCGTATGAAAAATTTAAAAGAAACCTACACCCAAGGAGAGAGGAATGGTGTTCCCAGAAATAAGGGAATGAGGTAGACAAGACAAACCCTTTGAGAGAGTCGTTTTTGACTTTAGTGCAAAAGGCTTAACTACAGGGCACTTTTCTCTTTCAAAATTCTTTACATTTAGAGATGAAACGGTTTTTACATTTAGAGATCAAACGATACTACTAACCGTAAATTAATGACGGTTAGTAGTATCGTTTGAACTTTAAAGTATCGCTAAAACCGCGGTCGATTACCGCAGTGTGAAAAACTCGCTGTACTGAGTCAAACAAAGGCAGAATCATTCTCTCAGATGCAGGTGTGTGTGTGTGTGTGTGTGTGTGTGTGTGTGTGTGTGTGTGTGTGTGTGTGTGTGTGTGTGTAGAGGGGAAGGGGGGGGAGAGAGAGAGGGAGAGAGGGGAGAATATGGCGGAATGTAGTCACAGAGATTCGGAGATATTTCAGCCTTCTAAGAAGACCAAGTCTGACGTTTGGTCATGTTTTGGGTTTTCTAAAGATGCAGAAGGAAACTTAATTGAAGATGACCACCCTGTCTGCAGAACAGGCCGAAAGAAAATAGCGGCGAAAGGGGGCAACACATCAAACCTTACGAGTCATCTTCGCGACCACCACCCGCTACTTTAGAGAATGCAAGGTTAACTTTAACGTAGAAGTCTGTGGGGACTTCGAAATAGAAGAGATGTCATGTTTTGTGTGGTTTAACTTATGCTTATGGTTCGTTAATAATATAAAATGAAGCTTTTAGCGTCAAAAAAACAAACAAACAAACAATCGGTGAATCAACTGTGAATCGAAACTAAAGCTTTTAACATTTCTGTGGAGCAGTGTCTCCAAAATGAGCTCTGAGTTAACTCACACAAGCTCTGGAATGAGACGCTGCAGAAGTTCAATCTGCACAGCTCCCCTTTCTCGTCTCGCTTGCAGTGTTTACTGTCTGAGAGGAGAATAACACCGTCTCAAATCACTGTGTCCCCTACATAGTGCGCTACTGTTCAAACAAACACGATCATCATTAACAAGCAGTTTGTTTTTGTTCAGAGTTGTAAATAGGGAATTTGTAACCTATTGTTAATATATTGTTATTGTGAACATTTCACGCACTTTTTGGGTGAAGGAGTTGCTATTTCATGATCCACGAAGTGCACTACATAGGGAAGATAGTGTGCTTTGAGACGGGACCTCGCGCAAGTAAACGCTGTGTGCTGATTTTAGGAAAAGCAGAGTTTCAGAGATTAAACTTTAGGAGTGTTTCTGCTGCAGCTCAGATGCGCGTTAATTTTAAGTTATGTTTTAGTTTTAAAATGCTTTTAGAGAAGCAGCTCCACAGGTGAAGACACGCTGTGTGAGTTCTACACTGTCTGCAGCTCAGAGCACGGTCACGCAATTCCTCTGTGATTTTGGCTGTTTTTCTTAGTGCACTGGATTGATTAGGGGTACAGCGCCACAACGGCACAATAATGCTGCAGTTGCAGTTAGGACAGAGATCCCCCGAGTGCAGCACTTTTTAGAAGTAGTCATTTTCCATTAAGACCCACCTCATAATAATAATAATAGTAATAACAGCAATAATAATAATAATAATAATAATAATAAAAAATACTACATTTGCTATTCTTTTGTTTACAGAGTATTACAAGTATTGTAAGTAATACAAAAGTAATACTACAAATTGACTATATTTTTTTAATGTTTATTCAAACAAAAAAGTGCATATTGCTGCCAGTTCTATTTGTGTTAATATAAAAGTTGGTGAAACAAGTTTCAGTTTTGGTAATCAGTATTTATTTATTTATTTATTTATTTATTTTACTTTAACACATTTGAACAATGTCGCGATAATACCGATAATCGTGATATGAAATTTTAATATCATTTCATCTCTATTTACATTAAAGACCAACCTTATAGTATTTAAAAAAAAAAAAGGAGCAACTAAAATATCTAAAATCTCCCCTGAAACATGGAAGTTACCAACCTCTGTGTTACAGTTACATCAGCATTTCAAATGACAACACCCTGAGCTATATCTTCCGAGAGTCTTGCTTACCATTTGCTTGTCAGAGAAGACTGAACGGTTGTGCACCAGTGCCATGCTGTGTGTGGTGTTGCAGTTGCGACAAACTGCAGGCTCTGCGATGCGGCCTCGGTCAACTTCCACACGTGTGCTGAAAGCACACACTTGGCAGCGGAAAAAAGCCTCCTGCATTTCTGGAATCAGCTGAGAGGTGCGGATCACCATGCCACTTATAGTGATGAGCTGGTCAATGTCTGAGAGAGATTAAATGAGTTACAATCTGGGCTGCAAGTACAGTCTCACTGCGCACACTAAACCTTTTCTGCCTATACAAAATAACAGTATGTGCATTCAGTTACGGAGCTATAACTTAGTTTCATTTGTTACAAGAGCAACCACGCTATTAATGAGCCTGACTCACCTTCAGGGTTGAGACTGCGCATGTTTCTAGTTTTCAAAGCGTTGTAGGGGCGCACTTGGATCTGGTGCTCCAGGACAGAATCAGGGTAACGATCAAAGAACAGCTCGTTTACGGCCATATCAAAGGTGGGGATTACTTCCTATGTTGAAGGAAAACAAACAAGGGGTTAAAACAACCCCTTTACTGCCAGCATCGTATCTCTGCCAGAGTTCTGATAAAACATCCATCCTGATATTTTTCAGGCTTTTGGCAATAAACAGTATCTACACATTCTCCAAAATGCCTTAAATGTTTGAATTTTCAATTGGAAGACCTATAGTTTGGAATATAGAGCCTTAATTAAATTAAATAAGACTCGGAAGTAAACATATTATTACCCGTAAAGCCAACTATACTTAATCCATTTTCAGGAAACTGACTTAATACGTACAACCAGCTATTATAACTGACAGTACACTGAACATTTATGGTAACTAGAGAATAGTTCAATCAAACCATATTGGATCTTAGATAAACTCAAGACAAACACGCTTCCTTTTTATTTTGCTCCAAAGGTTGTTAGTCAACACAAACGGTACTCTAATGTGCGTCTTCCAATGGTTTTTCACGCTTTGTAAATGAATGTTTCTAGCTAACATTCTACGTGTGACCGATTTGTAAAATACCTAACGTAAAGAAGACCCTGAAAACAGATGGTTTTACAGATACTGACTGAGGATGTCAAGTATGTTTTTGGATTTGCCCACACACACTAGAAAGAGCCATGTTTAAGACCCAATAAGACCCAAACAAGAGAACAGTAGATAGAACTCAACAGAAGACTAAAACTTGACTTACTTGAGGGTAACAGATGAGCTGGCGGTACAGGTCGGCATCAAAGGCCTGAATGTGGCCACAGTTTACGTTTAACACAGGATCCCCAACAACACTGATCTGCAACACAAACAAAAGCCTGTAAAGTGCCAGTCCATGTTACTCAGCTTCTAAAAACAAGAAACAGTCTGGCTTATCCAACTGCCACTAGGAGGACACGTGAATCCTCAACGTCATTTCCAAAGCAAAACCACATATGCTGAACGTCCTCACATGAAATCCATGCTCATCTTACCTCATCAAGTTTCTGCATGTAGAGTGGCTCATTCAGATCCAGACTAGCATTCTCATCCTCACGGGAGCTGGGGTCAATGAATCGCTGCAGGAAACGCTACAAGGAGGAAAAAACCCTAGTAATTCTCTGCACTAACCTCAAACTCGTAGTTCATGACCTGAACACATGGATTATGTACTATGCCACGTTACATGAAACAAGTTACATAAAACACCCATCTTATTCTTACAAAAACCCACGTTTTCAGTGTTTGTCATATTTTTTCCCCCTAAAGAGAAGAAATATGTATAAACTATACATAATGCTTATGAACAAGTTTGTTTTGTGACGCTCCTTTGGCATTACCTGAAACTTCTCCTTGCAGTTTCCTACATTGACATCAGTGCCCCAGATGACAAGTCTCTGGCCAGCAGTCTGTTCGCTAGCTACTGTGGCATCTCCAGATGGCTGGGAAGAAAAGATGAAAATTCATACTAATGCCCAAGACAACACCCACAGTGACCAAGTATTGATCACTAAGCCAAAAAAAATTTGAAAGGAAATACTATGGATACTCATCCAGCTATCTGATGGGGCTGAGAAGGTTTTAAAACTGCCACTAATTGTGTTTTCCTGTTTTAATTGCATCGTCACTGTTCCATTCTGCTTTGAAACTTTCATTACTCAATATAAATTTATCTTTCAATGATGTTAGTTGTAGCTGTAAAATACCTATATACCTAATCTTAGCAAGTAAGCCACAAGTCTTGCTCTGTAAAAAATGATTTGAGGACTTTATGAAACGATTGCCTCCACTCACAGGCTCAGAGTTGAGGTCCACTTGCGGAGCCTTTCTGACAGAGCCTAGGTCAGGCCTCTGGCGGGCTGGGGTTCCACGGCTTGGTGTATCATATATAAGTGGAGAGCTCATATCCACTTCACTCTGTGGAACTGATGAGAATATTGTTATCAATTGCTGTGTTCACACAAGGAAACATGAAAGACCAGAAAATCAAATGGTAACTGCTAAATAATTTTGTTGCCGTCTGTGCCCCAAAAAACTGATGCCTAACATGCAAGTAACTACATGGTAATCTATACTGACTAGGGGCAGAAAATGTTTGATATCTATACTGACACGTACTCCTTAATTGAGACCAATTTATTATTTTTTTTTTTACATATTCTTAATTAAAAAAAAGAAAAAAGGAAAGCAAGTGTTTCTTAAACCAAAAATGGGTGTGGTGTTGAAAGTGGACCCATATACTCACTGTTACAGGTTACAGACGAATCAAGAAGCTCAAATAACATGCTTACTAAAAGTAATCTAGACAACCAATCAGCAGTCTACATTTTGCAACAAGCATGTCTACTGGCTCATAGATACTAAAATTGACTACTTAGCTAGTGAAATTCAGGACCAAAAGAGATTTTAATATTTGGCAGTATCAAAGCAATTTGGTGGGTTCCATAAAACACACTGAATTTTGATACTCAGCCCTATTACTGACTTTGCACTACACTACAATTATAAAGAAAGGTACCAGAGCGACGAGCCACTGGGCTGGAGAAGAGTGAAGTGTCTTGGATGGCGGGGCTCTGCATGTCTGTGCCTGGTGACGTGGGCATGGGCTGCAATTCTCCTGTGGAGGGCTCACGGGGCCGTGGTGATGGGGAGAGAGGGTCCTCACTAGCAGCTAATGAGGCACACAAACAGGCTTTAAACAATAACATATAATAAACACAGTGAGAATGTGATGTTGAGAGGAATCAAAAAAAAGCTGTGACTGGTCACCTACAAGCTGAGCCACCATCGCTACTTTGACTATAAACACCACAAGATACTTCTGCTTATCAGCTGACGTTTGTGTTTTGGACATAATACAACTTGCATGACAAACATTCACCGCAGACTTTCCCTTTCATATGTCTACACCAAGTCCAGAGACAAGACAGAAGTAGTTAATTTCCAGTCAGATAAGGTATACAATGTTACATTAAGAAAGTTTAGTGACCATTTGTTTGCATGTTATTTTTTTCCACTCTGATGCTACTGTTGAGAACATAACCTTAAGCATTTGCCACTTTACACTGATGTAAATGTAACTTTACAAATATAATCTCCAACATAAGAAATTTCCATTAGACAAGCTAGCCAGATGTGATCACCTGACTATTCTCCTTAAGTTAGCTCTTTAAGTCTCGCTTTTTCCAGATACTCTTTGTACGAACCCAAGTACAATCACTTTCAATTACAAACCACAATTACTACATTTAATAATGCACATTTCACAATCGTTCTAACTTACGAGTAGGAGGGTTGCTGCTCCTGGCACGCTTGCGGGCGCTTGAGGATGGGGAAGACATCTTGAACACTCACTAAAACAAAGTTATCTGCATTAACAGTCTAGCAACACATCCACTTAAGAAAGTGAAAGACAAACAAAAAACAAAAACAAAGAAAGTTAAAGCATACCCTTTAAACAGGTAAGTCAAACCAAGTTACTCAAATTCATCACACTCACTCATTCTAACCCGGTAAAAAAGAAACAACTAATGGATGCTGAGTAACGTTAGCAGGTTCAGATACGTACCAATATTCGTTATATTTTGGACAGCGCTCAAATGCACCCTTTTCAGAGTTTAATGTGCTGAAAGAGCGCAGCGAATTTGGAAAGCAAGCTAACCTCAGTTCCTTCACTTTGGTAGGTTAAAAACTTCACCTAGCAAACTTGCTAGCCGACTAATTACAGGCAGCAGCAAAAGAAACATGTGCAACGACTGGTGGCGCTACAATGCAATAGGAGCAAAGACGTTGTTTAGATCTTAGCAAAGAAGTTTAAACTTTATGAACAGGCTTAGCGTAAGGGACAAACTGTACAACAGGCAACGGTACTCCATTGTTCAGCGTTAAAGAACTAGGCACGTCCATGTCAGTGCGCATCAAAGGACAGTCTTATCCAACCAAACTTACACACCCAAACGTTGCATAATAATATGTATCTGTGTAGCGAGGAAAGGGCGTACTTAGCCTTCTATGTCTTTAATTTTTATTTACATTTATTTTGTTGACCTAACGTATAGAGAAAAAAACACACTTACCGTTTACGAAGCTTCCTACCAAACACACACCGAGTGGCGCGAAAGTGCTTGCATGACGTACATTTCGCGGGGAAATTCGGGCCAATCCGGACGCTTTGCGCCTCTACATCTTAGTTGAGGGGGGGGGGTACAGTTACCGCGTAGGTTAAAATATGCGCAAAATAAAGCTAGGTATTTTCCAAATGGTTGTTGGAGATTACTAAATCTAGCGTTTTAACATAAAGTGAAAAAAACGAAGAAAAGTAAAGCTGAGGACTAAAGTACTGAATCTCAAAGAGTCGTGGAAACAACGGCTCATCTCCTCTTTGGTTTGTTCCAAATTTTCGCGGCAAAAGTCAGCAGAGATCCTGTCACGTGACCGAGGGCGAGCTGCAAAGGGCGGTACTTCAAGATGACATCGAACACTGGCGCGATGCTTAGTAAACAAAGGCTGCCTGCCAGATCTAACTAATATTAGAGGAAAATATAAAAGTAATATTAGTAAAGGTACATAGTACATTCCAGCCTCAATTTGTGTGATACAGCGCATATTTTCAAAATAGCCCAGCCCATGCTCATATAACTTATCCGCTGTTGCACGTGTCTTGTGTTGCCATGTACTGAAGTGCAATTTGCTTGAGTCATGCTGTTTTTTGAGTATTTTCACGTGAGGCTTGCACTCGAGTAGCCTATATTTGTGTGGGCTTTTCTGTTTTAACCCCAAAGCACGCCGACACAACCTTCTCCAACAAAACCAAACTCAAACGCTGGGTTATTGTCAGCCAAATCAGTGTGGCAATATGGTCTCTAAAGTGTTCTCCCCGATTCAGAATGGTTAATTTGACTCGCCACTTCATTTTGGGTTTTAGCTATTCAGTCCACATGTAGCGGAGTTCTTTTTTCAGGGTCTTATTAAGCCAGAAATATATGAAAATGGTCATAAAATGTCTGGTCTAATTTCTCATTATTAGAGGGAATAAATTCTAAGTTGGCGCCTAAATGCAGTAGTGAAAAGAGTCAGTGTTTATATTAATTTTATGCAGAAAACCAAAAATATACAGCCAACAGTGCTCCTGTGGTCAGAAACATCAATGATGAAGGGCTACAGGATGGCAGAACTGACATAGGACTCATAGCATCTTATCCATGTTTGACTTGTTTGAATAAGACAGACAATTAATACATGCCATGTTCAATATATTTATGTTTTTTCTTTTCTGAGGTCTAGAAGGGTATTAAAAAGCATTGTGTTTGATTTTTAAGTTTTGCAGCAAACCCGTTTTTGTGTTCACTTTCATTCTTTACTGTTCTCGAAAGCTATTAGAATGCTTAGGACATGCCTCTCACTTTTAAGCTCTACTAATTTATTTTAGACCAAAAGGGTCCAAAAAGGGCTCTAATAAACTTAAAGGTCCTATACCCTATATTTTTCTTGCATATCTCAGAGGTCCACTTTCTTTGGTTATATATCAGTAATAGACAGCATTTGTTTTTAAATGACTGTTTTCTGACTTTTCTTTGTCCCTTACTAAACAGGCTGTTTGTGTTACTCTTCCTTTAAAACTGATATATGTAAATGATCTTTGTTCTGATTGGTTTGTCTTGTATCTGCCTCAGGATGTGTCAGCCTGTGCTAGTTGTGCCTTGTAGGCATGGTGTCCACTCCATTTATAAGCAGCGCATGATCCAGCGTATTCCACTTTTGATGCTCTGGCTCAGTCAGCGAAACTGCATTGTATAATAACAAACACCACATGGAAAATACGGAGCCCTGCTGGTGACATCCCATATAAATAAAAATAATATGCCTTATTAACAGATGGAAACAAGATCCTAATGCATGGCTATGACTTAGTAAGGTGTGGGAATGAGATAATTAAGTTGTGGCCATTCCCATGCCTTACTAAGTCGTGGCCACACATTATTTTTATTTATACAGGATGTCACCAGCGGGGCTCCATAGAAAAAACGTGGCAAACCTTAACAAAGAATGGTAAAGTTAAAATGTAGTTTCTGAATCCACAAGAGACACTTCGTCCTCAATAAGTACAATTACAACAGTTTCTAGTAATGTTTTTATTTAATTGCAGACAGGCTATACAACAATTTACATAAGAGCCTGTATAAGTGCCTCCAATACTCCATTTACACAGGATTCTCTGCTCTTTGCACTATGTAAAAAGCGGTGAGCTGGCACAGATAAATGCAACACACCCACACTTCATTACCTCACAGGGTGAATGGGCAGCGTTAAATTAAATATGCTGAATAAATGGATAATTTAAAATGTGTCTGTTTTCATGACATCACAAAAACAAGGAATTCAAAACAGGCTGATTTGCATCTTAGTTTTCATATATGGACCATATGGACTGGGAGACTAAATGGTAAGTTTTAAAACTTTACATATTACAACCAATTCATTCTTTAATTCCATGGTATGAGCCCTTCAACTCTGTATGCTGAAAGATGCACTAAGAAGTACACCCACTGTGCCATTATATATATACATATACATGGTTTTAATTCAGCCTTACGTAAATTATATTATACAGACTCTGCTGCTGTGCTCAACTAAATATATATATATATTTAGTTGAGCACAGCAGCAGAGTCTGTATAATATAATTTACGTAAGGATGATAAAATGTTTGAAAAATGAAGTTATTATTAGGGATGGGGGGAAAAATCGATTCTTAGATGCATCGCGATGCGGATGTGGATGATTCTGAATCGATTCACAAATGTCAAAAATCGATTTTCTAAATTTTAATTGACAGTGTAATGTTGATGGAATGCAAAAGGCGGAATTTTGCGAAGTGCAGAAGTGCAGCGCCCGGACAGTCTGTGGTGTGCACACTACATTAAAATTATCAATGTTCGTCTTAAATCTTTCTCTTTGCCTTTTCATTAGCTGCTAGCTAGGTGAATTAGCAATTATAGGCTACATTAATTCCAGCTTTAAGACCATTTATTGTAACTGTGTTTGAACAATCAGCAGAGCTCTATTTTACTTTACCTAGAAATCTAATTCAGATGTGGAGCCACAACCAGCCAATGAAAGAGGCGCAGGTTGCCGACCCTTGAGCTAGCGTATGGAAGCACTTCTGTGGAGTTGAGGGGGAAAACCATATTACATGTTTCCACCCATTTTCCGCCTAGTTGTAGTTGCTGCCAACCAGAGGACCATCGATCAAGCAATGTCAAAGCTTCCACCCAACTCGGAGAGAACGAAGCAAACTACAAACTCTATGGAATCTTTTATTGCCAAGGATTTGCATCCGTTCTCAGTCATTGAGAACTAGTGCTTTCGTGCTATGTTGCCCACTTTGGAGCCGAGTCCCGTCCCGAAGATATTATAATGACACAGCGACCCCCACTCTCTACAACAAGACAAAATATGATGATAGAATCGCTGAAGAAAACGGGTAGTAGACACCCATTGCCACAGGATCTTATTTCACTGTAACTGCGCATTTTATCGCAGATAAGTGGCAGCCTGCATCTCATGTGCTCAAAACGAGCAGTGAATGATAGCCTTCCAGTTCACTTGCCACATCGCTTCTGTTCGATTTATTAATAAAAGATATGGGAAGTAAACTCAAGTAAATGGATCATTATAAATACTTTGCTTTAAAACTACGAAGTTCTCACACAGTGAGAAAAAAAAAGTCCTGTACAGAAAAAAAATGCATCGATAATCGTTTTATAATCGCATCGCAGCCCTCTGAATCATCATCAAATCGAATCGTGAGGTGCCTAAAGACTCCCACCCATAGTTATTATACTGTAGCGATCCACTACCGGCTGTGGACACGGGGGAAGAGTGGCCACGCAGAGCGGCGTCGCAGTCTACAGTGTGGTGAGCGGCAGAGAAAGCGGAGAAGCCAAGGAACCACTGCTGCGGCCGCGAGGAGATGCGCCGCATCGGGGTGGAGGATGCAGCGCCCAGTCTCTCTCTGCTCCGGCGCACCTGGGACGAGGACACAGCCCCGAGGGAGGACTGGCAGTGCGCGTGCCCGAGCTATATGTGTTTACCAGGACAGTGGACACTCTGTAACCCTTCTGCACACCGACTCCGAGAGGGGGTTGGTGTGCCCTCACGCGCCCAGGGACTTTCTGTAATTTCTGTACTTAGTCTGTGCGGACATCAGTACACAGCTGTGGTTGTTGGAGTAATTGTATCTATCGAGGGAAGGCATTGTGTGTGTGAGCTGTCCACCCTCCATGTGTTAGCGTGGGGTTAGTGCTGAGCAGAGGGTCTTCCCTGCGGCACGTTACAAAAAGAGCACTTATTTGAAGTAGTGTGTTTTCCGCGTCTTCTCCTATGCTGACACCACAATACTATACTAATTATACTACATTATACTATACTAAAGTGCGCATTGGCCGAGGGACCGCTTGATGGGATAAACGCTTAAAACACCGGCTCACTTATCTGCTTCAGTGTCAGTCAAAAAGAAACCAGGCCACCACAGGAGAGACCACAGAACCAATAAACAACCTTCTGTGAAGAATGAGATGGAAATATGTCCGCCAGATGGCGCCTATCATGACAGGGAGCGTCGCCATGTTCAGATGGGAAAATACAGGATCCACATGTTCCCAGTAGAACGACACAGAAAAACGAAAGCGAATCTACAAGCTCATATAATTACATTACCAAATTCAACCGCAGAATAGGACTTAAAAAATAATTTGCTGGCACACCTACATAAATACACTATATGTCCAAAAGTTTGTGGACATCCCTTCTTGTTAGTGAATTCAGATACATTAAGGTGCACCCACTGCTGACACAGGAGTTCAAATGCACACAGAATTACATACACTTGTTATCTCCATAGAAAAGCATTGACAATAGAACGGGGCGCTCTGTAGCAGCTGTACAAGAGCCTAAAGTCAACATGTCTAATGTCAAGCGTGAGCTAGAAGAGTACAAAGCCCCCAGCATTGGGCTTCGGAGCAGTTGAACTGCGCTTTCTGGAGTGAAGGAGCTCCATCCAATACCTTTGGGATTAGTTGGAGTCATCCATAACTGATCATCCAACATCCAGTGCCTGACCTCACTAATGCTCTTATGACTGGATGCAATCAAATCCCGACAGCAATGTCCCATCATCTATTGTAAAGCTTTCCCAGAATAGTAGAGGCTGCTACTACAGTAAAGCGGGTCAAAATCCTTTTTAATACCGTTAGTTCTGGAAGAACCATTGGAAAAGCATGCGTCCACAAACTTTTGGCCATATCGTGTATCCACAAACACGTACTTATATGTACGTTTTTCTCCCGTGTAACTGTTGGAACTATGTATTAACTTAACCAAAACGCTGTTAAGTGGGCCTGCGCCATTAGCGCAGTGTTGACATTTGACGGTGCAAACTCAAGCGGTTCAGACTTGTTTCCCCTCATCAAAGTTTACTTGTAGCCTACTATCGTGGTGGGCGTTCCACAAGCCCACCCTGCTCTCCTCCAAATGAGAGCTGAAGCGGACCACGTGTCCGGAGCTGGCCGTGACTGGCTTGGCGAAGGGGGCGGCGAAGCTTTGACGTAAAGCAGCGGCGCATACTTATTCACGAGGGCGTCTTAGAGCAAAGAGGAGTGTAAGTGTGTGAAGTGTATGAGTGCATGTGTGTGTGAGAGAGAGAGACACCTGTTGCAGAGGAGCCAGGAGTTCAAGCGCTCAACTAGACGGTCAGCTTAGATCTCGAGGACTTCGTATCGCTCTGCAGAAGTCCGGCCGTGTTTGGGTTTTTTTCCCCTTCCTGCACGAGACTGTAAACGTTTCCAAAATCGCAGTTGTTTACAGCTGCGTCCATGTGTGACACATACAGCCCGGATTCGCAGTGCGTATCGCCGCCATGCAGCATGAGCTGGGCGCTGGAGCCCGCAAACTTCTACGAGAGCAAGCTGATCGGCGCGTCCGCGAATGCTAAAGCGGCGCGTCCGGATGAGGAGGACGGCGGCGTGGTGGAGCTGAGCAACGCGCCGGCCATCTACGACGATGAGAGCGCCATCGACTTCAGTGCGTACATCGACTCCGTATCTTCGGCGCCCAGTTTCGAACTCTGCCATGACGAGCTGTTCGCTGACCTGTTCAACAGCGCCGTGAAGCAAGAGAAAGGTGACTTCTACCAGCTGGGCTCCGCGCACACGGACTTTGAGCGAGCCGAATACGGCAGCAAGAGCGCGTTCCCGCCGCCTCCAATCAAGCAGGAGGCTGAGTGGAGCGACGGGGACGCGCCTTCGTCGCTGCCCTTGCAGATCGAGGCGTGCGCGCAGACCTCGGTAAGCCTACACACGGGCCAGCCGCCCACGCCACCCGCCACGCCGGAGCCCGCGCATCGCAGGGAGTCCCGTGACAGGGGCAAGAAAAGCGTGGACAGGCTGAGCCCGGAGTACCGGCAACGGCGCGAGCGCAACAACATCGCCGTGCGCAAGAGCAGGGACAAGGCGAAGCGGCGCAACCTGGAAATGCAGCAGAAACTAGTGGAGCTGAGCGCCGAGAACGAGCGCCTGCGCAAGAACGTGGAGCAGCTGACACGCGAGCTCTCTAGCCTGCGCAGCTTCTTTAAGCAGCTGCCCGAGTCGAGCGCTGACAGCCGGTGACACAAAAACTCAGACTCTGCCTTCTCTTAATGTTTTTTGTTATAACGAACTGTTGGAAAACATACCTCAAAAGTGACTTGAATATACTTTCACTCTGTAGCATACGTGCATTAAAAGTTAGGCCGTATTGATCTTGGGCACTGAACTATGGTTATCACCTTCTGTTCGGTTGCTGCCTTGATGTGTTTTGTCTATTTTATGTGAATATTTTTCGATTTTTTTTATTCTAAATTATTACAGAACCTTCATATGCTATGGTACGTTTTATAATTCCGAACTTTGTATCAATGCCAGAGCATGTTGGAAAATTTTATATAGTTTGTACAAAAAAATGGGAATACTGTTAATAAATGTGTAATAAAATGACGTAAAATCTCACAAGTCCTTCGTTTGAATGTACGCATGCGCAAGAGCAGGGGCGTGGCCGCCAGTGCTCCTCGAGAAGACCCTGGCGCTAAAATGTTTAAAAAAAGAAAAAGAAAAAAAGTGTGCACTAGAGGTAAAAGGAACTATAGTTTAAGGTTTTTGTAGTACATTTTAAGGTTTTGTTACTTTTAGACAGGTGACCACACCATGCTAAGATAAACGTCTCTTACTGCTCTACGAAAGTACAAAATGCAGCCATAATTATGCCTGCCTAATTTTGTCAAACTATGAAACACCTGGGCAAGAAAGCAAGGTAGACATGGTAGGGCACTTTTTTTTATTTCAGATGAAGGGTGCAAAATACATGCTACAAAAATACACACACATTTTCTAAACAATAACACCATCTTTTGGAAGTCTGAGGTATTTTGTGTGAAAAAAATCTTCCCTGTAAGGACTTCACTTTTAGAACACTGCACATTTGTAAAGAATGCAAAAAAAACATATTCTATGTACTAGCAAACACCAATGTGTTTCTACAAGTAGCATTTTTAGAGTGGTGTGTTACGGTGGAATATTTCAGATGGGCTGCTTGTATCTTGTAGCTGTAGCATTTTATAATTCAGCCTACACCACTAGAGAGAACTGAGCAACATGATGATGGCACACAAACACTCAAGAGTCTGTAAAAGACAGATTTCATTTCAATGTAGATTTATTAGGATGGCTGTGATGACTATGTTGCAAGATCCACAGTTGAGTTTTAACAAGGACGAGTCAAACAATGATCTCCTCCAAACTCATCCAAAGGGTGGACCTCTTGCTGATAACATGGATGAATGCACAGAGAGGACCAACTTTCTTCCCAAGTACATTCTCCACCTCATATTCCTGTCAGGCAAAGAGAATACGCAATCAGTATGTGTTTGGAAATATAAGAGCTTTTAAACACAGTAAACAGTTTACCACTGGAGCATACAGAGCTCTATGACTGATGAATAGAAATGTTTCTCTGGGATAATTAAGGCATTTTTTGTGTCAGTGGGCCAGTTTCCCCAGATCCAGATTAAGCCTAGTACTGAACTAAAAAAGAGTTTCTAATGGAGATTCAAGATTGCACTGCAATCGAGACTGAAACCAGGCTTAATCCATGTCTGGGAAAACAGCCTCTTAAAGTCAATGAGCAAAGTGAAAAAGCACCACAAAAACATGGATCTAAAACCTATAACCCAGTGGTCTCCAACCATGGTCCTGGAGAGCCACGTTCCTGCAGAGTTTAGTTCCAAACTGCGATAAGCTGCCCCACCCCTTACTTAACTTCAATACATCTGATCCAGCCAATCAGGGACTTCAGAAGAGGTTGATTAGCTGGAATAGATGTGGCTAATTGTGGTTGGAACAAGGCTCTGCAGGAAGGCAGCTCTCCAGGACCAAGGTTAGAGACCACTGCTATGAACACACTTGGGCTCTCTTGTCCCACCAGTGTTTTGAACCAGATCAGACACTCTACACTACATTATAACCTAATCTCACATCTTAATCACAGCACAAGCCTACAGTGGCATATACACTTACATAGAGAATCTAAACATGATTATATATAGGACAGTAATAATGATTACTTAATCACCTGATCACAATTATTCAAGCTGATCGTAATTGTTTTAGCTGACTGCAATTATTATCCACAGTTCCAGATTCCACACTTATATGTTTACATGGAAACAGTGTAAAATGGATGTGTTCTATCCATGGGGTTGGGGTAAATGCATGTAAACAAAATAAAGCAAAAAACGTTCTAACTGCTGACTGGTACTACATGATACTTTTAGAAGGCAGTGGTGTGCAATGTGAGCTGTTTCTGCTGTCAATTGGGAGCTATTCGTTGTTAATCACAATTGTTTATAAGGCAATTTATCATCAGGTAAAATTTCATGATTGTGACAGGTCTAATTACAGCCACTTCTCAGAATTAAGTTTAAAGACCCTCACCTCAGCACATCCTGTAGAGTTCAAGAGAGACATAATGGATTTCTGCTGTAGCTGATAAAAAAGAAAAAACTATTGAAGCATCAGATTTATATGCATTTGTTATAGGCGTATTCCACAAGTTTCTAAAATTTACAAATACTACCTTAGCAGTGTACTCATGTCATGGTTACTAGATAAAGAAAATAGTGCACTAACAAGTATAATGCCAAGATAGGAGTTTAAGCACAAGCATAAGCTAACCACATGAGCTTACAAGCAGGCAACAGAAATGTGTGCTCTTTGACACAAGTACACATGAACAGTGACATCCATGTGCTACACAGTAAAACAAACATGGAGATCTTGTACAAGTATGCTTGGGTAATAAATTATGTTTTTATAAACCTAAGTAGCTATTTCTGTATATATGACTAAGTAAAGGACTGACAGTATTTTAGTAACACTTTGTTATCTACTCGCATCTCAGTTTCATAAAACATGCCTCAACACTATCTCAGACTTCTAGGAAATAAAGTATGAGGATAAGAATCAAGCCTTCAAAAACACATTCTTACACCCTGTAAATATAATCAGATTTTTTTCACATTTCCCTTTTTAAGTATCTAATGGAAACAACATGTACACAGCAAATGCATAATTCTTTTAAAAGCTCACCTTAACTTTCACAGTACAGTGATTAAGTAATGGACAACTAACAAATACTTCAAGCTGCATCTTTGTAGTTGGTTTGTCGACTGCTCCACATGTTGCACAAAGAAATGCTTCCCTGAGAACAGACAAAATAATCATTAAGGGATTCAACAATATAGTGAAATGTAATTTTTAGATGGCACCAAACTGGAATCAGAATTAAGTTTTGAAGACTACAGCTGCACTATTCAGATATATTTAGCTTTGTAAGGCTCAATTGAAAAGGTATTACTTTTTTTAAAGGCTATTTCTGTATGTACTTCATGATATATGCACAAGTACTTGTTACGACCCGGTCTAGGGTCAGGCCGTAACAGAGAGTGAGAGTGGGCTCTAACTATTAACTATTTATGAACAGCTTACCTCAATATTTACATTGCATGAGATGTTTCATTAAATAAATGACACTAAATGACCTAAGAACTATATAATATTAAGGAAAACATACCACTTTAGTTTGATGTCTAAAAGGTGTCTTGAACGCTCTACATTACTTGACAAAGATGCTTCATAACAGTGCTGGAAGTGGAACAAATGTCTAGTCACTAGTATTAGGGGTTCACTAACATCAAACTTTTTAAACCTTTTTAAATATGTTATTCAATGTATACACATAGGTTATAAAGTCTGTGTAGGAAGCCTTCAAATACAGTTTTGCTGTTTCTTTCCAGCAATGTTGACTCAGAGTTTAAAATATTATAAAAATACTGGTTGGTTCAACAATTGTTCTTTTAGGAATGTTCTTAGTTTGGTAATGCACTCTTCCACACATTAACACACATCTTACACATCTCCTTTAGTGTTTTCTGTTTGAGAAATGAGTAACAGTTCACTCCCCACCAAACACTTTGTTTTCAGATTTACAAATCTGTTAAAGCATACTGTAAAGTTTTTCAGAGGTATATTAGGCATAGTTACAGGTGCTAAGGACCAATAAGGTAAACCAGTTTGCTACAGCACCACCCCGAAGCAGACAATATTAAAGACACAAGCTCACAGATCGTGAGTAAAGCAGCTAAACAATCATCTTTCCCTGAATTTGTATTTAAGTGACTATTTTTCCCCCGACAGACAGCATTACATTATAGGTTTAACTTCAGGTTAGAAAAGGAAAGATTTTGAGACATTCTGGGGGTCTAAGAGGTTCATCACCAGGGGGGGTTCAGGACCCCCTGTATTTCACACATTGCTTGTGACGCTCAATAATGGTGTCTGTTTGTGGAGAAAGTACCACCCTTCAGGAAAAGCCAATCACGAAGAGCCAATAAGCTTGCTTGTTACGCTGCATGCGGGAAAAGCCCCCTCGTTGTGGAGATCTACGCAAGTGCAGCAACCAGAACATCCAGAGAAAAATGTTTTATTGAGCCTAACGTCTGCGTTATTGAGCCTAACACTACGAACTATTTATTTAGAGGTTTCTGTCAGATTTTATCAGTGATTTCAAATATGTTTTAGAAATGGAAATTTGACCTTCAGTTTCAAGTATTTTGGTCTCTGGAGTGAACAGACTTTCCTACAAGGACTTTGTAGCATCTTATTTTGATGCAGTTCTCACTGATCTGAGACCTATGATGACTTAATAGTTATTCAGAAATATGAGTAGTGTTAAGAACAGGGCTGTAATGATTAGCTAGCAAATTTGCAAAAATGAGGACTCACAAAAGTTTCAGGGTGCAAAGCACGATTCACAAAGCAGACATGGCAATTCACAGCACAAAGATGATGTGCAAGCGTTTAAAATCAAATCATCCAAGTTCCAATACATTTTCTGCTCCTTCGATTTAAAAGTAGTGCTTTTAATGAACTAGCCTAAGCGCCTACACAGAAAACAACGTCCCATGGAAGAGACTTAACAAAATGGCTCCAAACTAATACCACCCAGTCATCCCAGCCAGTACAAGTTAGATCTGTTTAGGATGCTTCCGAGACGATGAAGTTGTGAGCATTAATACATTAAAATGATTAAGCTTTCTTTTTAAACTCAATAATTTCTTGTTTCTTCAAAACATGCTAGTGACATTTCTAATGTTTAATTTAAAAACCCTATTTGTTTGCCATTAAATTAATAGGTTTAAATTAAGAGCTAAGATTATGTCCGTTTGTTGGTTTATTCTCTGAACCTATTGGCAACAGTTGAAAACAACTAAAAGTCATACGTAAGGTCACACATTCTTTTAAACATCAGTGTTTAAATTCAGTTTAAGTTCATCATCTCAATCATTTTCTTCAGAAAAATATTCAAACTACAGTTCTAAAGCGCAAGATGTCGAATTTAAGATATCATAGGACATAGGACTTACTGTTTGGTCTGTATTGCCTCTAAGCAGTCACTTCCACACTGACTGCAAGTGGGCCATGAGAAAGCAGATTCCTCATCCACATCAACCACCACTCCTGCACAACAGATATTACAAACTAGAAATGTGTATTAAGGGGCAATTTTTATCACCCTGATACCACATATAATAGCTAGTAACAATGCAATAGAACTCATGAATACAGTAGTGGTCCATAGCAGAAGTTACATAACCTGCCAAGTAACTATAAAGTATATGCTGCACACATTAGTTAAACTCTCATTCATGCATGCACTCACAGCACACAGAAGTACTGCATGTATCAGTCTAGACAAGTCAAAGTTTATTTATATAGCACTTTTTACAACAGGCATAAACAAAGCAGTGTTACAGAAAAATCCAGGTCTAAACCCCTATGAGCAAGCCAATGGTGACAGTAGCAAAGAAAAACTCCCAAAAAGCAAGAAAGAATCCTTGAGAAAAACCCAGACTAAAAAGGGGAACCTATCCTTTTCTGGTCGACACCAGACAGCAAAACAATAACAATAGAGCAATATGAACAGAGAATAAGATTTTACCATTAACAGAACATAAAGGGGAAAAGCAGGTGAAGCAATGGCCATGATAAAATAGCTTAAGTCTGTGCATGCAGCAGTATCATCAGGAGGGTCAGTGGCATGCAGGTGAGGTTTGCACAGCTTTGTACTGCAATACTGTACATACCATATAATATTTATTACTGATAAGAACTCTGAAGGAGGTCAACTGAACTTTTCAGGCAGATGCTTTGCTTTATCTCCAGGAACACACCACATAGTCCAACTCTGAGGTCTGCGCTAATGTTCTCTACTGCAGCTTTTTAATCACCATTTAGAAACAGTGCTAAAAGGCAGCCATTCCGTTCAAACCTGTGCAGAGAAGCTGATTTACATTTTATACTACTAGTAGACCAGACCACTGCAACGCTCTTCTTCCTGGTGTAGTATAAAAAGATCAGAGAGGTTACCATTACTCTCATACTAAGTGGCTGCCTTAAATATAGCACACCTTACACCTGTACTTAAGTGTAGGCTGAATGAGTAATGGTTTTTATATCAAAATATGCAATTTGAAAAACTGCAGCTTTCAGACTGCATGAGTTGCCAATTTGATTTTAGCCTACATTATCAACAAAGCTGTGTTAACAAGTTTTAAGTGGGGAAATTAACCCAATAACACAGCACGTAACTTATTAAAAAGTAATTGGAATTTGAATTGCAGTCACAATATCCGTCAGACAAATTGCTATATTTTTCTCCAAACCGTTCAACCCTGTTTAAGTGTCTTTACTTTTAATGGCAATGTCCCCCACCTCTTAATATTAAAATTACTTATGGGCTGCACAGTCCCTGGACATTTTTAAACATAATACTAAAATATTCCTATATGGAGAGAATATAGGTCTTTCAACTTGTTTTTTTTATGTTTTAATTATTTATCATCAATCTTATTTTGCTTTGGTACTTGTTTCTATTTAACTCTTACGTTTTCTTCTTAATATTAATTTTATTTGTTAACCTGTCTGTTTCTTTCTTACTTAATTCTTCCCAACTGCGTGTTAGCATGTACAGCACTTTGCACTGGGATGTTTGAACAAAAAGTGCTATATAAATAAAGGTTTGGTTTGCTTTGTTTTGATTTAGTATCCTATCAACCCGAGGAGGCTTTTACATGTGGAAAACCTTACTGATAAGAAGAGATCAACTGAACTTTTCAGGCAGATGCTTTGCTTTATCTCCAGGAACACACCACACAAATTCTGACTCTGAGGTCTGCCTTTACATGTGGAAAACAGCCATGCTGAAAGATACTTAGGTGATTGCAATGCATTTGATGCCTGTAATTGCAGTATGTGATTACTTCCATGAGGTCTGGTCACTGTGCCAAATGAATCTACCAATATTAGCTTAAAAATATGTATGAGGAGCACAAGAGAGAAAAGTAAAAAACAGAAGTTAAAAAAAAAAGAAACATTCACTGGATCAAGCCAAACTGGTTACTTTTTACTTTAAAATAATATACCCTCATCCATTTACTGTCAGAAAATCGGTGTTTAACACTGTTTTCCTCAAAAACGCATCAAATGCCATGAGAAGAAACAAACACAGACGAATTAGAGATTAACTAGGCTCCTGGAGGAAAGAGTTCAGCACATGACAAGTTACAAGAACAGCCCTGAAGCAATGAGAGAGATGGATAAATGGTTTGTTTTTAAGGTAACTGACATGCTGCCCTTTAAAATTCTGATCTTGAAATGATTTGGAATGTACTAACCTGTAAGAGTGCAGAGAGAACAGGCTGCGCTCTCTGAGCTTAGCTGGTCCAGCAGAATGGGCTGCAGCAAAGAAAAGTTCTGCTCAGAGTCCAGCTTGATCACAGACTGCTCCCAGCAAAATATTCGACCTGCATATAACAGAGACACACTGCAAATTCAGCAAAGAACTTTCTATGACAAATTTAAGCTATGCGCAAGCAAATTTGTTGTAAATCATGGCTAGGAATGACAAAAGATCACTACTGGATACTGTTGGATTTGATGTGCGAATCAGACTCACAGCAGCACAAGCCTTGTTTTTGCTCTTTGCCATTAACAGGCAGATGTGTAACGAATAAAATTTACTCTCGTTACTGTACTTGAGTACAGTTTTCCCTGTAACGGTACTTTTTGGAGTAGAATTAAATCACAGTACTTTTACTCTTATGAGTGTATCAGCTCATATACCAATAAGAACAAAGTGCGGTTAAATTCACCAATCAAAAAAACAGCAGCTCTGACAGGAAAAACACTACAGAGATGTCTATCTTAGTGGAGCAGGAAAGAGGAGAACTTCACCAGCACATATGATGAACAGACCACATCCAAACGGTCATCTGTATTCATTTTTGTATGAACTAAAGAAAACAGCGTTATTATCAGGGGCCAAACACAAAGCCCTCTGAGATCTCTGCTTTCACAACTCGACTCCAGCCTGAGGCAGCATTAGCCGAGCTAGCTGATGCAAGCTAAACAGGTACCGTGCTTACGGTTTTCTTCTTTCTTTTATAATGCCTCCATCTATTAAACATAAAATCTGTTGCGTATATTTTATTACAAGTGCCTGTCAGCTACTTTAATTCACAGGTGTTGCCCATAGCCTACAGTTTACCGTTTAAAATACAGCCTAGCTTAGCTGCTGTTTTGGAGATAAACTGTCGTGAAAGGCTGTGACAGAAATCTAGTCCAATACAGGCTCTTCATCACCTCTGGACAGTAATTCTGTCACGCTGTTGTTGTTTAAACTGACTGGCCTGATCTGATCCCTCCCCACCTCCTCGCCTTCTCTCTGCGTCTCTCTTTCTCTCGCTCTCTGTCTCTCTTTGTTTGTGTCTTTCTCTTTCTCTCTGTGTCTTGGAGTTTGTCTAACTGTGAGAGGCTGTTTAACTTTAACTGTCAAATGAAGTAATAATGTCTGATTCTGTATGAAGTACAGCATGATTACTAGTGAATTACATTACAGTAAAAATCAAAGCTGGGTAAACTGCTGATGTTGCTGCTGATTTTAATGGTAGAAATATTCTGAACAGATATCAGTGAAAATATACAGCTTGAAGGCTGTGAATATGTTTACTGTCTGTACACGGTCACACTTATTAACGTAAGCTAGAGTCCAAGGGAGTTGATGGGCAGCAGGACTCTCAGTAAAATTACATTATTAATTAAGCAATCTACTCATAATTTTAGTTTTTTTTTCTCTTAAATTAACTTAAATAGACAGTAACAGCCTCTGCAAAGTCTTTCAGGGATTCTAAAATACTTTATTGGAAACAGATAAGCTAGGAAGTCTGATATAATAATCTAACCATGAAATGCATGCAGTGTAATGTAAACCTTGTTCCTTACACAGATCACAGAAAGCTGTGTAAATGTGCCCTAGCAGAGCATACTGTGATCAGTCTCAGCTCTCAGAACTTTTTTCCCCCCACATAAAGTTTTGCTTTAGTGTTTTTCTGTACAGATTATTTCCAATGATGTAGCCGAGTCAGCTCAGAAATATTTTCAGGTTGTGACAGCAGAAATACAAAAAAGTAACTCAAGTACTTAAGTAGTTTTTCAATACACTAATTATGTACTCTTACTTAAGTAAATTTATTTACTAATACTTCTACTTGTACTTGAGTAAATTATCACTACAGTAACAGTACTTATATTTAAGTAGAGATTTTCAGTACTCTTCACACCCCTGTTAACAGCTAGGGCTTTTAATGAACTAGCCTAAGCAGCTTAATGGGAAAAAAAATGGCTCCAGAGTAACACTGTCCTGTCATCCCAGCCAGAACAATGTCAGATCGTTTTCCTTTTATTGTTTTTTTATTTAATAATTTATTGTATTAAATCATATTTTTGATTCAGCAACAATTTGAAACAAGAACTAAATTTAACACTAACATTTGCTTCTCACTGAAACCCTATTTAAGTGTCTATGGGGCCTGCCTCTTGATATTACAATTACTGGAGGGCTGCCCAATTCTATAGCCAAAATAGAGTTTTTTACCTTGTTTTTTTTATGTTTTTTATTGTTGATCTTATTTTGCCTTGGTTCTTGCTTCAGTTCAACTCCAATGTTTTCTTCTTAACATTAATTTCATTTGTTAACCTGTCTGTTTCTTTCTTACTTAACTCTAACCCAACTGCATGTTAGTATGTACAGCACTTTGCACCGGGATGTTTGCACAAAAATAGCTATATACATAAAAGTTTGGTTTGCTTTGTTTTGGTTTAGTATCATATTGATCTGAGGAGGCCCTTACACATGTGGAAAACTTAATTGCTTAGAAGATACTTAGGCTTCACTGAGGTCTTGTCACTGTGCCAAATGCATCTACCAATCTAAGCATGTATTTATGAGCACGAGAGAGAAAACGGACATTCCCTGGTTCTAGCCAAATTAGTTAAATTTTATTTACACTACTGGATACTTAGGATTTGATGTGTGCATCAGATAAAATGCGTTTTATTCAACAAACATTAATCCCACTTTATGCCAAAAGTTGTGACAAAATATTTGTACAAAACATCACATATAAGGTGATATACGCACTTAAAAGGCAGCTTACCATTCTCCATCACTGCATCTCTAAAAACTAGTGTTGGTCTGAGATGGGGGGATGTAATGGCCTCTCTGATGCAGGTCTGGAGCATGCAAGAGGTGCTCACATACACAGGCAGTGTTCTGCTAGTGCTCCCTGCGCTCTGCAGGCTGGGGTCAGTGACAAACAGCAAGAGGTCCTCTCCTACGCTCTGTAAGCAACCAGCATGCAGCAAATAGCATATTAGATGCAGCCCAGAGGAAAATAAACCATTAGATGTCTTGTATGCACACAACAAAACCCTGTACATACATACACATGCTTACACTCACCATAAGATTCACAGAAAGAATTTTCTTGAAAGACAGAGTTTCTAAGACATTCATAAATCCTTCAAAAAAAGACTTCACAGACTGCTAGTGAACAATGAAACCATAGACTGCAGTTAAGTGCACATCAAGCCTTTATATGGCTTGTTTACATGTTGACACTAGATCACTGAGATATTCTTCAGAAAGTCAAACCTGGTTAAGGGATTTGCTACTTTTCTAAAAAAGGAAGCTAGGTTTGAAGAAAAGGGACAGTGTTTTAATTCTTTTGTCAGTAACGATAAAGCACATTAACCAGTAACTTACAGAAAGTAAATTATAAATTACAGATGCACAAGAGTAGTCATTTGTTTTGTACAGTCAAACATATTTTAAAACAGACATGTAAACGTATTAAATGCGGTTTTATGCTGTTTTAATAATTAATACAACACCACTTGTGAGGACGTTTGAATCATCATGATTTTACCTGTTCTCTCTTATACACCACAACTGCCTTGAAACTGCACCAGCCACTAGTAGGCTTATTCTAAAAAGGAAAAAGAATATTTTATATATATATATAAAAAAAAACAACTTACAGCCTCTATTCATACTATTTGCATATGAACTATACATTTGTCTAGATATTCAATTCAAGGTCAGGCTAATAATGACAACTTGATTTTGAGATAACAAATAAATAACAATGGGAGTGTGTATTTCACCTGTAAGACCTCTTGGAGGGTGAGAATGACAGGTGGCCGGTATAGTGAGGACACATGTTGAGGTAGCACAGAGCCCTGCTGTCCAGCCAGTCTATAACAGAAGTTGGGTGATGGGACTCTGTCCTACAAGAAAACAAGCATTCAGCATCAGCAAAAGTAATCACACTAATTGATCAAAACAAGGCTATTAGCATAGTTTATGACAAAAAGTTTCTTCAGGTTATTATCTGCATGAGAATGTTATAATATTGGTCCAACGATGTCAGTGTCTACCAATTACAACTCCCTTACTCCCTTATGTATCATGCGGAGGACCAGAGGACAGACAAATTAAACAAGGCAAAAGGTTGTTGACCCTCATGGATCAAAAAAAATCATCTACTGTGGCAAAGGGTATGAAAAAGAGCACCAAAAATAGCAATGGTTCCAAAAATAGCTTGCCATCTACACTATTACAAAAGAAATTAAGAACAAGGTAGAAGTATATTGTGCTCATTTATAGTGCCATTATAGTGCCTTTAGTCATTGAAGTTTGACTAAAGCAATGTTTAATAGTCAGACAAGAGAGAGAAGATGGATACTAATGGAGAAAAACCTTCACACTGTAATGTAGAGAAGTATATTGGGCAGCAGAATGGTATTGGCTAAGGGTACCTACTGTCTGATGGCATGACTGCTCTCCATGAACCCTCAAAGGAATCAAAGGAGGCCACAAACTGTCAATCAAACTGAAAAGCTTAGTACATCTGCAGAGAAAAAGAGACAATAGTCACTTTTCAGCCATTTGATCAGTGGTAAGCTGACACAGTTGTATAATTACGTTGAGTAGAAAATTTGTATAAAATATATGTGGATGAATTTCAAATGTCGGGATGAGCTTTAAACTCTCCTGAATCTGAATGATCTGAATTTTTTTCTGCAGTTACTGTATTATTTTTAAACTAATACTAATCTGGTATTACTTATTCACATAAAACTGGAAGTGACGCAAGTCTCATGAACAGCAATACCTTGGAGGCCTTTTGCATATATGTACTGAACAAAAATGGATTTAATCACAAACTCTGCTAAAGCAACAAGAAGTTGAGTTAATGAAAAAGACGAGACTGAGCCTGTGTCTGTTTATGGTGGCACATTCATTAGCCTAATTTAGTTTGACGCCTGGAAAAAAAAGATTTAACAAACCAAGTGACAATCTGATCTGGTGCACCTGCAAGCTGAGGCTTGTTTTCCCTCATATTCTCATACACACAGATGCACAGTTATAAAACACCTGCACACAAGCACAGACATACTCAACGTCACTATGACAAGCTGATTTTTTTCCGTCATTACCATTTTTAGAAATCTAAACTGATTACTCAGATATAGGTATCTTTTGTATGTATCAAATCATACAGTGGCCAGGCAGAAACCTGTCTAGACAGGAAATGATACCACGCTGACACACATAGCAGACAGCGATCTTAGATACCATTTAGGACAATGAGTAGGGGACCAAACTACAGCTCAAATATATCAGGAATTTCACCAAGAAACAGAGAGAAAGCTGAGTTAGACACACTAACGGCTGTTTACTTCCTACAGCTGGGGGGCCATGAAAGCCCCTGAGACTGCAGGGATCAGTGTAAGCTGGTGCTAAAGTGTCTGTGTGTCTGTTCCAGCAAAGCAGGGACTCATTGTTCAGAACTAGTTCTACAGCCTCTTAATCCAAGGCCAGCTCACACTTGACCCACTCAACTGCTTCTTCCAGTCCAGCCAGACGTGGCTTTCAAAGGGCCGAGCTTAACTGTTACATAGAGGCACAGGGAACAAATAAGGGTGCCTGAGAAATGCAGTGAGCTTTCGAGGTTACACTTTTGGCAGTCCTCACCTCTGAATAGAAGTAAATGGAAATAGCGAGTACATTTGTTTAATAGTTACTAACACATGCTGCCTTTAGTATATAAGAAGCCCATGGAAGGGTGCCAAATCTCAATGACAGGAATACACTGCAACAGGATGTTACTCAAGTATCACTTGTGTAAATATAAAGTTATATATTGTGTTTTACTAATAAAAGATCTATTATTACATTATTGTTGTTATTCTTTAATTAGTCTTAGTATATTGTTATGGCCAGCACTGAGACAATTGCATGCCTGAAAACAATTTAGGAACTAACATTTTACTGTAAATATCCACAGAGCAGAGGAGATCCCTTCAGACAGATACTTTTACACACACACACACACACACACACTCTGAGACAACTGCATGCTTAAAAAACAATTTAGGAACTAACATTTTACTGTAAATATCCAGAGCAGAGGAGATCAGACAGATACCTTTACACACACACACACACACACACACACACAAATGAAATGAAACGAATGATGCCTCCTTCACACAGTCAGCCTAATTTATAGCACCTGAAGTATAATAATCTAACATAATCTTCAAATTTTCATGTTTATAAATTGCTGACACCTTACCTATACATGCCCATGCCACCATGATTCACTGATCAGGTTAGGCTAGACACAATTATTACATAATCGCCTAATCACATTATTCGAGATGACCACAATTATTTCAGTTGTTAGAATTCACAATAACATTAAAACACAACAAATAAAATATGAACTGGGTGTGTTGGGTTGAGGCAAATAATTGTAAATATGTAAATGATGTAAAAAAAAAAAAAAAAAAATATGATCAACAAAAATGTTATAACTTCTAACTTGGTTCTCTAACATGTTTATATGTTGTAAGCTATGTAGTAGGGTGACCATATGTCCTCTTTTTCCTGGACATGTCCTCTTTTAGGACCTAAAAAAAAAGAAGCATCTAGCCAGGATTTCAAAATCACCAAAAACGGCTGGGATTCTGCTTTTGCTTTCTATAGCTGCCCGTTCATTGTGTGTGTTTTGGTATTGCTTTGATCTTTCTTCTGCCTGCCTTCCCACATGCCACCACTGGTCAGTCATGTAGACGCCCTTCACGTACACACTGGTCATACTGCGTTTCAATCATTACCCTCGGCACCACAGCAACAGCCAAGAGTCAGAGCAGCTTGTCAATAGTAGCACATGGTGCTGAACAACTTAAAATGTCCAAACGAAAATGTAAATTTATAGATGGATTACAGAAAAATTCTTGTGTTTTCATCTCAGTTGGGATCCGTGGGAAGCAGAATGCATGACCTGCAAAGCTGGCACATACGTGTCAGTGTCAAATAGCAACCTAGAAGCGTACCTGAGCACATCAGCCGGACTGCCTGGTGAATTTTTTGTTTTAATTGTGATTGCTTTTTTTATTTTATTTTAATCTATTGCCATGAAAACAAAGTTATGTAAAAGGTTAAAAGCTAAACTGTTTTTTTTTTTATTTTATTTTAGTGTGGAGGTTGAATGGAAGGGCATGAAATTATTTGGCCATAAGGTCTATGGAGGCATTTGTTACTTGTCTTGTTAAAGACTAGCTGTTTATGTATTAAAGGTAAATAACATAGTTGCATGGTTGTGGACACATTTGTCAACTATTTTAACCTAAATTGCTCTATTGCTCTAAAAACCTTATTACTCTAAATTAATAACACATTAATATTTAATACATAAAATATTTAACAATTTATTTTTCATCTTGGATAATGTTTATGGTTTAAATTTAAACTTCAGGAGTACTGCTGCCTCTTGCTAGCTAGTTTGCAAATTACGTCAAGCTAATGTTATTAACGTTAAACATTTTCCCAAAGTCAGCAGGTCTGCTGCTGCCTCTTACTAATAGGCTTGAGCACAGCATGCGCACAACTGAACTCACAGGCATCACCAGCTTCTGCCTAGTTTAGAACGACAAATCATACGCCCACATACATTGATGTCAAAATGTGTACTTGCCATGCAAAGTGTGCACAGGTTGGTAGAACTACTTTAGGCTTGTACTTGTAGCTGCAAGCAATAATTAAGAACAGATAATTAACTCGTCAATCGCAATTATTTATTTGACAACTGATTGTCAACTAATATTTCATGATCCTGACAGCCCCAGATGAGGTTGCTGGAATAAGAGGATTTCTATTCTTCCTCCACACGTTCCTCATTCTAAGACTGCGGTACTAGTAAATCTTCATCTCATTTCTCCCAAAACTCTACATGCCTTTTATTTAGTAAACAAAAAAAAGTACCTTAGCATTTCTGCTGATGAGGCTGATCAGGTCTGCATCTTGTGGTAAAATCTTTGTGGTTATGTTAGTATATTCTCATCTTCATAGCCTGCGCGATATTGTCTTGTGCACTTTTTGTAAATTCCTGCTGTGTATCCTAACTTGTTACACCATGGGCCTGAAGCACAACATTTATTTCCAATGTATACAAGTTATATTGAGGAATGACAAAGGCCACATGACTTCACAGGACATCATGTCTCTATAAGTGTTTATGATCTGATCAACACTAATAATGTGATCTCCCATTATTTGCCTGGTGGTTTGGTACTGCTAAGCTAACCAATGCACTCTTGCTAGATACATCTAGAGTTGAAATTTAGAGCATAAAAATAATCCAAGATGAAAAATAAATTGTTAAATATTTTATGCATTATTTACATCCAAAGAAGAACTAAAAATGGCATAGGGAGCATCACTAAACATTTACATTAATTATGAATGTCAATATATCCCTTCCCTACAACTACTTATATTATGCTGTTACCTTCTGTGAACCACATTATAGCAAAATGTCAGTGATCATAATGGGGAACAAAATCCTGCATGGTTGAAGAGATGAGATTGGGCAGAGCAAAATAAATAAATAAATAATTAAATAAATAATAAAAAACCTAACATGCAAGATTTTCATGAAAGCTTAAAACAATAGCCTATTATAAATAGATTTTTTATCCTCAAAACACAATAATTACACCAGCCTTGTGTGGTGTGACGCTCAGCGTTGTCATAATCAACAGCCCGTTACCTGTGGTCAGTAGAAAAGTATATCAGGCAAGTTGATTGGCCAGTTGCTGGCCCATCGGTATGGCTTAATTAAAAGGATCATTGCAGGGTATAATGCATCCCATGTAGCTTCCTCAGCAGCAGCATTCTGCAGAGAAGCCTCCTCTGCAGCTAGTGCCAAAATGATACAGCCTATCAGGATTCAGAACTACAGCAACGTCATAGCTCCTGACCCCCGACCAGCCGTGAGGCTAAAGTTTGAGGAGTTTGAACAGTGAGTGAGTGGTGAGGAAGGCAGCTATCGAGATAGATAAAACAAACATAAGCTACATTAGCGCAGACAAATTCTGTAGCTGTAAGTTTGTCACCACATCATATTCCTCTCATCAATAGAGTACTTGACCATAATATGTTCAAGTTTATTGCGACATACAAAAATAAGCACACTGAAAACCTTTTAACCAAGTATGGTAGTCAACGAAAAAAAATTGAAATTAGTGCTTGACACACATGATTATTTATATTATACTAGTAAGCCATTTTTTACATTTTTATTTTTGATGCTGTAATTTGTCCTTAGCATAAAAGTACATAAGTTAAAAATCTGAATCCAGAATGCATGGATGAAATGGTGATTACCTCTCACGAGTGAGGCGCTGGATCACCTTCAGTCCCTGCAGAACACACACTTTACCTTCCAGCTGCTCCATGTGGTTTTTTAGCTCCACTTCTGAAGATACATACTGCAACTTCACCTCACTGAACATGCCATAAACATCTTGGACGAGCATACAAAACCTGCACAGAAAGAGAGTTTCACTGTAAAACACAAAAGAAATGTTACTTCAACCCTAAAAAAGTGTGCTCTGGAAGTTGCAGTAAACATCAAACATGAAAATGATTCATTCAGGCAAGTGAACAACACTGCAAACAACCTTGTTTCTTTAGATTTAAGAGTTTATCCTCTAACTTTGTGTCAGAGGAACATCAGTAAGCCAGAACCAGACCTGTGATGTGGTGTGTGGAGGTGTCAGACTGAAATCCTCTAATTAGCATACTGTAGATATACTGTATTTGGATATTCCCAAATCAATTTATACTTTGGATAAAAACATTTAAAATCTGTGTTTTCGGTGCAGGGTATAATTAAAGAAAAGACAATTTGAACTGTTTGTCTACATTATTGGTCCATCACATTCCACAATAACCTTCTGATTCTAAAAAGTAGAAATTTAGGACTACACATTTACTCGCTACTTTATTAGGTACTTCTACAATGTATTTACACTTAATGCCCAATTTATCAGGTCCATTTACCAAACAGGTGCATTTTGTAAGCCTGCAATCACCAATTATAGCTCATCTTTTTCTCTGCACAATTTATTAGCCCTCTTTAATCCTATTCATTGATGGTCAGGACACCCACAGGACCACTACTGCATTATTTAGGTGGTGGATCATTTTTAGCAAAGTAGTAATGCTGACAGGGTAGCGGCATATTAGTGTAGTAAGTGTATATTAAATAGACGTTTGGAAAAATGTCAGGCTAGAAACAAATTATTTTTTATATTTATGGTTAATATTCCAATGTTTAGCATTGTCCTAAATTCAGAAGAGTTAACAAGTAACTTAATACAAAAACAAAAGCACAAACAAAATCATGACATGTAGCGACATGACTATACTCTTAGTATACACAGCCTCAATTGGCACTGACATCGAAGTACCCATTCTCCAACAACCCCTCTCTAATAATGATAACAGACCAAAGACAGATTTATCCTTCCATAAAAGACTTCTGTGATGTGTGACTACAGAAAAAGTAAATCTGAAATAACCTGTGACAGGGAAACCAGCTAGAAACAAAGTTTAAATGTTGTATGCAGAGATGTACGCTGGACAGAGAATATCTGCGATGACAGGTCCCAGTTTAAGAGGCAGACAGGGTCAAATGGTTTCAGTGTCATGAACAGTGAGGCTTGTTTCGGCCTGTGTGGGCCTGTGTGTGTCTAAATGAAACTGGAGAACATGGGGGGGGGGTGACAGAGCAGGAATGAAACTGAGGCACCGCGTGCTTAGAACAGGTCGACATAAACAACTACCTCCATTTCCCCTGCTCTGTTCCCGTCTCCCCACACAGCACTCTCCAGGGGAAGAAGCTGTCAGTGACTCCACTGGGCTGCTGCCATTGGCCAGCTGCAGTGGCTGGCCACCTTCAGGAATTTGTTATTGTGAGTAATCGCAGGAATTCACAGCAACTTGGGGGCGCTTCCTGGAACTGCACACCACTGAGCTTGTTTAAACCCACACACACATGCATGCGTGTATATACACACACACACACACACCCACCCCGAGAGTAGCTCTCCCCAACAGAATGTTACCATGAAACAGGATTGGTAGGGGTAAAGTGGGAGGGATTACTTCCGCCACTGAATTCACCAATGAGGAAGCAGTTTGTGATAAACAGGCTTGAAATCAGACACCTCAAGCACATTGTGTTCTAACCTCTTCTTGAAAACATCCCCTCCCCTCCTTTTCTCTAAAGAGGACTAAGCACTTCTTTAGCTTGTTTATACTCTGTAGCTTTTACTGGAACTAAATATTGTCTTGGAGCAAAAACCAAATTCTGATTATTTTCTAGACGCTAACCCACGCCCCCCCAAAAAGTTCAGTGAAGTTTAAAAGTAAAAGCTAGTGATTGCAAACTAGGGATGTATTATCTGAAGATCGCAAGTGATCCGCAAAAAGAACTTGCTGAAGGATGTGGGTGTACATAGACAAACACATACACATGCCGTGCACTGTGACATATACATTTCACAGTGCATGCATACGCCTACTAATTAATAAATAAATAAATAAATAAATAAAGGATGTTAAAACTTGGCCCTGTCGACAAACAATAAACAACTCATACACAATGCATACATTTCATACTTTTTAAGAAACAGTTATATTATCCAGGCAATATACTACAAACAAGACCACATCTATCTAAAAAATCTGATCAAGCTGAAGGAGGCCTCAGAATCTGCTGTAAGACACTATCAGAGACTTCAGTTAGATTCAAACTCTTTAATATATACATGCAAACCCATATCATTCATACTATGGACAGACACACACTATTTCAGTTTCACAGTTATATTAGAAATGGGTATAAAGTTGATTTAATATAAATTCTTAGTAAGTCTTATGCATATTAATTTGATCATTTAATTATTAATTTAAAATATACCATTTACAAAGCTATGAACATTAAAGCTAATATTTGCATTGCAAAACATTGCTGTACATTACCCAAAAATTTCAAGTAAAACATAGCAGGGCTGTAACAATACACATATTTCAAGGTATAATATGATATTTAATTTTGAGATTTGATTTGATTTTCGTCACGTTATAAATGAAGAGACCATACACTGGTTAAAATAAATGGGAAAGCTCATAACACTTATCATAACATCTGTTTGCAGAGAAAGTCCCATCCCTCATGAAAAAGAACCAATCAGCTTGCTGGTTATGCCACGTGCAGAGAAGGGTCGACGATACTGCGGCATTAGCAGGGAAAGCCCCCTTTCAGTGTTGAGATCTGTGCAAGTGCAGTAGCAAGAACAACCTGAAAAATCATTTGTTTTGTGCGTTATTGAGCCAAATGCTAAAAACTATTTATAAGGTTTTAGAAAGATTTGACTGGTAATTTCAAATATGTTTCTGAAATGATCATTTGGCCTTTAGTTCAGAGTATTTTGGTCTCTCTCCATTCAAAGACAGAGGAGTCTGGTCTTGTATGGCTGGAAATAACTGACCGGCGGCATTGCAAAGATGGCCACCGAGTGAACAGATCTTCCTATAAAGACTCTGTTTTGAATAAACACAATATGGCTGAAAGTATGTAGACAGCAGACCATCACACCTATATGAGCTTGCTCCAAAAACCACAGGCATTAATATGGAGCTATCCCCTCTTCTGCAGCTATAATAGCCTCCACTCTTCTGGGAAGACTTTCCGTAAGATTTTGAAGTCTTGGGAATTTGTGCCCATTCAGTCAAAAAAGCATTTGTGAGGTCAGGAACTGATGTTGGATGAGAAGTGTTAGCTCACATTTGACATTCCAATTCATCTTAAAGGTGTTCAATAGGGTGTACGGTGTAGTGTGTACAGGCCACTGGGGTTCCTCTACACCAAGCTCATCGAACTATGTCTTTATGGACCTTACTTTGTGCGCAGGGGTACAGTCAGGCTGGAACAGAAAAGGGCCTTCCCCAACTACTGCCACAAAGTTTGAAGCATGTTATTGCCGAAAACATCTTTGTATGCTGTAGCAGTAACATTACCCTTCAGTGGGACTAAGGGGCCTTGCCCACACCCTGAAAAACAGCCCAAGATCCTCCTCCACCAAAATTTACTGTTGCATTCCTGTAGGAAGCATCCTCCTGGCATCCACCAAACCGAGCTTTGATCATCGGACTGCCAGAGAGTGAAGAGTGATTTATCACTCCAGAGAACATTTCCACGGCTCCAGAGTCCAGTGGCAGTGTGCTTTGCATCACTCCAGCCGGTGCTTGGCACTGCGCATAGTGATCTTAGGTCTGTGTGCAGCTGCTCCGCCATGGAACCCCATTTTACCCATTTAATGAACCATCATCCCATCACGCAGTTCTTATGCTGATGTTGCTTCCAGAAGCAGTCTGGAACTCTTCAGTGAGTGATGCAACAGAGGATAAGTGTTTTATTTCTTCCTACATGCCACGCGCACTCAGCAGCCCCATTCTGTGAGTTTGCATGGTCTACTGCATCATGACTGATATGTTGTTGCTGCTAGACTCTTCAAATCACAATAATAGCCCTTACAGTTGACCAGGGCAGACATTTCACAATCTGACTTGGCATCCTATGACTGTCATGTTTAAAGTCACTGAGCTCTTTAGTAGGACCCATTCTACTGCCAACATTTGTTTACAGAGACCGCATGGCAATGTGCTTGATTTTAGGAGGGGTGTTCACATACTTTTGCCCGTATAGTGTATGTTTTGGCTTAAAGTGTATGTTGAAATGTCTTGACTCTACTAATTTCTAATATACAACAGATTGGTTTTGCTCAGAAAAATACAAATTTCATTTTAAAACAAAAGATTACAAAGTAGCACATCCTTGGGCAAAAGAGAGATCTTATAAAACTACTGCAGAAAATATACAAAACAAAAATACAAAACAGATAGGATGTACCCAGACTGTACAGTTTTAAAGGCACTGTTTTTTTGCTCCTGTACTGAAATGGTACTCCACGAAAACTAGTTTTGAGATTTTGAAAATGTTTTGATATTGACAACTTTAATGTCCACATTCATTCCTGCAGAGTAAAACAGCCCTTAGCACCCAACATACACACTGCATGCTACTGCAATCCACCAGGATTTTCTCCCACACAATTTCTGAGCAGTTTCACTCCTCAAAAAAAACTAAATTCAAAAAGCTAAATCTCCTGAGTCTATAATAAGCCTAAGGGCTCCAACAAGTTATTTTCCTCTAGATGTTCTCTTATGTGGGCCAAACCCATGAGGCCCTTACAATGCCCTGTATTTATCTAGCCATGGCAGGTATGTGTAAGACGAACAGAGAAAAACAGAGATGAAACAGAGACAGAGGGAGTGACAACACAGAAAGAGGCTGCTACATGTGTGACTGTGCTAGCCTTTGCTTAATCATCATTATCATCATGAGGGTAGATAGATATCAAAATGTTCACTGTCCACTCAGGTCACCAAACCAATGAATCTTGTGGACAAAATGAATTTTTGGCCAGAAAAATACAGATACATTTGCATTCACATTTAGCATTCCTCCATGTCCACTCAATTTTTATTATATCAGTAAAGCCAAAGAGGGAGTTGAAGGGAGCCTCATTTTTCACAACAAAGTAAGTAAATTTGTAGATTTTTACCATTCGATCCTGCTGATCCACCTATTTTTTTTGTCAGGCTTTGGTCAATTGGCCCTGTTACTCTGTTTTTTGGATCGCTGAAGATCACTGTGCTATAACAGCTTTTGTGTTAGAAACTGTGGCTGTGCTTTTGAACATTTGTGTATTGTGTCCAGGCAAAGAATGAACTTAGTGTCTGTCTGCTGTGGAAACTCTTTCATAGTAAAAGCCTGTAGTGGTTTTGTTAATAATAGTGGATATTTGTGAATGTGTGAAAATTGGTCTGGTGGTTTGTTAAAAGTCTCCATGGCAAATGGCCACTCAGGCCACAGGCTCTACATTTTTAGTGGCTAAAATGTTAAATGTTCCGGCCAGGGACATCAGGCCATAGGCACACATTAGCCAACACAGACACTCTCATCATCAGTGACAAGAATTTAAGTCCAGACTCTTGCTCCACACAAAATTCTATCCTCAGATACACACACATGCACAGACCATGGTGTGGTGCCCAAGCTTCCTGTGTTCCTATGTTTACAAGGTATTAGATCATCTGACAGAGAACAAGTTAACTAAAGTTGTCAAATGACTTTCACATACTCTCTTTCCAAACACTACTCTTTCTAGTGCTCTTTCTGGCTGTCTAAATCCTTCGTTCACTTTCTAGCTACGTCTCTTTTTCCGTCACATGAGCATGTGCATCTCAACTTGTTCCATCAACAGTTTAGACCCTCTGCTGTTACTCAGTATGGCAACAAAACAACATGCCTGAAAGGATAGGAGAGGACAGGAGAAAGGGCTAGACCTTTAGAAAAGGTTCATGCTTTTCAACTCTGACGCATAACAGAGACAAGCACCAAGATCCTTTGATATGTATCTGACCACAGACATGTCTACATCTTTAAACCATAAAAGCCAAGGGACCTATAAAAAAAAACTTTGGCTTTAGAAAAAAACACAGGTTAAAACCGTTATTGACAGCTTTATTTATATCTCTTACGCCTGCCTCTCTTCCTAGTACGAGACCATGGATCACTGACTATGCAGAGCAGTTTGTCATGTCATGCCATATGACCAGAGAGAGAGTGAGAGAGGGTAGCGTGAGTGAGAACTTCATGTACAGGGAGGGGCTCAATAGTTAGTCATTGATAGCATCTAGAGCAGAAGTTTTTCCTGCCTGGAGAGGTGAATGTCCTCAGCAAAGATTTGGAACTCCTACAGCGTGGTTTATAACCATGAACGGTATGAGTAAACAACCTCTTGAACACATGGTGTTCTTACACACAAACTCAGAAACATATGTAAAAACCATTTAATAGCTCTCTAGATGACCTCTACACTGGTCAGGCTATGATAATTGGAACAAACATCACTTGGTAGCCAAATCAGAAGATTAAATACACCATCCCGCAGATCTATCACAAAGTTACAGTCAAAAATATAAAGACATGCCCAGCTAGCCACTTTTAAAAAGGTACTAAAGGGTGAAATAAAATAATATTTAGCTTAAAATCTTTTAGTAATAACCCATTTCACCTCTTTGAAAGCTGTGATGCAAGCACATACATTCTTCACAAATGTTAATGGGCATCCATTAGTAATGAAACATCTATTAACAGAAATATTACCTTTTTTTTTAAGCATATGCTTAACCCACCATAATTCGACTACATAACAAGCATGAAAGAGTGAAACCTTTGTTCATATTAAACGAGATCACTCTCATACAGTAGAGGTTGGTGACACTGTTGGGGTGTGCAGGAATGGTGATGGGAAACACAGGAATGGGGACAAAGCTGTCAGGGACAGTTGGGGTGGGGGTACAGCTCCCTAGTCCTTGTCCAAATCAGAACATACTTTCTCTTCCAAGACCAATGCAAAGATTGGTACTGTGGTAAAAATGAAGAACTATTAATCTTTACTGGCTTTATCTAAGAAGTGACAAGAACAAAAAAGTATCATTATTGGTATCCCTATATATTCTTATGATGAAATCACAAAGTTCATCTAAGCCTTTAGGAACTCTTCAGTAGTCAGCAATAACTGTGCTTCATGAGGTATAAATATGATGCCATAAACATCAGTTTGACATACAAAAGTTAGACAAAGGTAAGTAACATTCCGTAGCACTTTATTTATAGTGGTCCTTTGTAGATGATTAATAAACTCTTAAAAGATTATCAGTAACACATCAACAACATATCAGTGAGGTAACAGTAGTGAAGCATCTGAATACACTGAAGTAAATATCTTGTAGATGGACTATTGATACATTACTTACATTAAGTAGATGTATTGTTAATATGTTACTTCCATTATGCAAAACCTAACCTTACCCAACCTTACCCAAACCCTAGCCCTTGCCCTACTCCTAACTCTAACCTTAGCCTCAACCCAAAACCTAACCCTAACCCTCATATGTTTTTGACATGTTACTGAGAGTCTGTTGAGTGTTTGTTTAATCTAAAAGGACCACTCAAAACAAGTGTCACTTTCATTCTCCTGCAATATCAAATCACTATATGCAATTACAAGGAGTACCTGCCAATGTACCGCTGTTGTGTTGGTCCAGGCAGAGGCTTGCCAACAGTTTTGTGTCTAAGTGTGTTTGTGGTAGAGGAGTGTTTGACAGGAAGGAAATAGACCCTCTGAACCACCACCTCCAAAGGGCCACAGAGAGATCCTGATGACCAGGAAGTCTCCACAGCCTCCAGGAGAGACTCAAATGCTCCTCCTGCATCACTTTTGGCTCGTGCACACATCTGGAATGAAAGAAAAAAAAAAAGTTTTGTTTTTTTCCATTTAGACCTATGTAAACTACACTTAATGGAGATTCTACACTGAAAATCCTTTCTAGTCCATAATTCAGTATAACGTGTACAAAAGAAGTCCTTAACATAACAGCTGATGCATCTTAGAAGCAAAATTATTTTTAAGTAATGCAAAAAAGCAAAATTGTTTTTAAGTAATGACTTCTTGCATGAATATTTAGGGATCCTTCCACTCAACATTCATATTACTTAGGTCATGCTGGAAACCTTTCCAGCCTATTGTGGACAAATTTTCTACAAAAAATTGCACATTTGGTTATAGATTCAAGTCAATGTAGGGTGAAGAAAGTTAAACCACATACCTGTTTGCTTGGGCTACATTTCTGAGTGGACTTGAGGTACTTCTCGCTCTGCCATAAGCACCTGATTAAGGGGTAGGGTCTAATCTCCTCTGAAGATGGAACTCTTGGGCAGATAACACTGCTGTCCTGCTTTACCCCTGATAAAACTTTCTGACTGAAATGAGTGTTCAGGATTACGGGATGTTGCTCTCCCTCAACAATCAGATTTTGCCTACAGCAGGAAAGAATTAGACAAAAATTATTACTGCCTGAGGGGGGGGGTGATGAAAAAAGCAATAACTAAATTACAGCTACAGTGAGAGAACCTCAAAAAGGTTCCTTTCAAACAAAAGGACTTTGCAGACTAAGAAAGGTTCTTTCATGTAATTACAATAATCTGTGAGTGAGCGAGTTTGTACGAGAGTGATCACTTGATTTTAATTTTTTTTTTGGATTAAATATGCAATTCTATTCTCAGTAAAGAGAATAAAAATACATAAAAAAAAAGAGAGTAAAGACATTATCATCAGATGGCAGAACATAATCTGCCTCCCTACATGAATGGATTGTATGAACTTTCATCATGACTTTAAGAGAACCATCTAACCCTTAGAAATTCTAATCTTCATTGTCTAAAAAGCACAAGGCGCACATGCCCTCAAACACACGGTAAGGAGTCTTTTAATATCCTCAAGTACCGACTGTAGATCTAGGCCCCTGTATGCTCTGTATGGGAAACAGCAGACAGCATGCTGATAAAGAATGACTAACTGATCAACAAGATGCCTTCTTCCATTCCAGTGAAATGATATAATCCACTGTGAGAAAGCTATGTGGTATACAAACCAGCACAATATTGTGAGCATGCAGACTGTGTGTTCAGGCGATTACAGATATCCATGTGCACAAAGCAAAAAAAATAAATAAATAAAATAAAATTTCCACTGATACTGTTGGATTGTTGACACCTTGGTTGGGGTTTACTTTGAATCATTCAAAAATGTAACCAAAAAGGACAGATGATCAACAAAACATTTTTACATAGCTCATGTACCATCAGAAAAAAAAGCTGTCATTTTGTTCTAATCACTCACAAAGGGAATTCTGTTTAGTATTTATCCCCCATCCTTAAAGGGGGGGGGGTAAACAAATCATTTCCTGCCCACTCTACTACAAGATCAGGCCTGCTCAGCCCTCCCATTGTGACGCACTAGGTCTGATAATGATATGGATACGTCACGACTCCAACAAGCCATGAAACAGAGCTGACTAGAGGCCAGAGGAAGAGAGGTTTTCTTTTCTCTCTGAACCGAATGAACCACTGGCTGAATGGGGAAGCTGGAAAGCAGCCAGCCGAGGCAAGTTTACACAGGAGAGGTGGAGCCCCTCGCCTGCTCAGCGCAAATATGACGACCACGCAATATCACCTCACAAGAAAAGGGAGAGCAAAGTCCAAATAAGCTCTTTTGTCAACTTCTTCAGTTTATTAATTGAACCTTATTAAAAGGGCACATGAAAAATCATTGAGGTGACAAAGATAACTCATGGTTTTAGATAGTAGTATTGTCCTTTTGCAAGAACAGACAAGTAAATAAATTAACTAATACTTAACATGAATACTAACTGTTCCCTCCATCTAAAAGCTGTAGTTTTTGTTCTTAAATCATGTTGACATGTTGTTTGAATTATCAAAAACAATCTATCAATCTATATCTATATAATTTCTCAAAAAATAGGCTTTCATGAGTTAATCATTTTGATTGAAAAAAGGATTCCAGTTTCATTGGACTAAACTGGACTAAAAAAAATAAAACCACAAACATTTATGCGAAAGCAAATGCTTTGAGGGGAATACCAATGGCTGATGTTCATAATTTGGGATACAAAGTGTACTTATTCTGCTCTACTTGAATATCTGGCCTTGAAACAGGAAGTGCTGAAGTAAAGTAAATACAGATTGGCTGATGACGGCAGAGCTTTACTCCACAGGTGAGGGTGTGGCCCAGGTGCCGTGAACAGCAGAGAGATGGTGGAGATCTAGGACAGGGAGTTCTACTCAACGCTGTTATTTCTAAGCCTGTAAAAATGCACAGGATTCAACAACAACAAATTTGAAATGTTAGAGTCAATTACAACCACTTACAATGATATTCAACAGAGTAAAAGTTGATTTTTTTGGCTATGTTAAATGTAAAAATAATAAGAACAACAAAAAAGAGCACTACACTACTGTTCAAATCAAAAGGTCTCAAACTCAAATAACTTGTTCGTCATTATTGTTATTATTCTTGTAATAATATTACTATTACTAATTGTATATATTAGTATATGTTGTAGCATTACTATTTGTATACTATACTAATCACTAGTAGTAGTGGTATAAATATATTGCTATTTTAGTATTAATTTTAGGATAAAACTGCAGGGATTTATTTGATGTTCTAACCTAATATGCAGTATCGACTGTCATATCAAGAATTAATCCATGAAGGCAAATCTAACTATGGGTCTTGCATGCAGGATTCTATTTTTCTATTTTTTTTATTATGCATTAGCCTAAGCCAACTTTATACACTTTATACAGCTTATGTACAGCTTATGTTGCATAACCAGCCACAGTGTCTAGTGGGTAAAGCAAATTTACTCATCAGCTCATCAGCTGTAAATATTTAGCTACAGAAAAAATTATTTGCAGGTCGGATTTAAAGATAAACTGCAAACGTGACAAGTCACATAAAGCAGGGCAGTCCTGGTCTAAAAGGTTCCATTTGTTTCAGTTTTTGAAAAAAATGAATTGGAAATGTTTTTAAAAAATTAAAAAAATAATGTACCAAAAAAATGAACTGGAATTAAATTGTGTTTAAATTGGATGTATACTGCATGGCAAGCTTTCATGATGCACTGATTTGTTTCCTAAAGAATCAGAATCTAATCAAATTGTTGTGAGGTCTGAGATTTGAGATCTACACCCCAAGCTAGGGGTAGGTGATATGGCAAAAATATCATATCACAACATTTAAAAACATTCTCAAAATACCCAATATGTATCACAACACTTCAATGCACTTACATAACGCACTAGTAGTGCCATATTCAAAAACAGCCATCAAAAACTGGGTGCAATTGGAATTGTGACAACACAAGCATCAGAACAACTTTCTCAGCTTGCTTCCTGATCCTGATGTAGGGTGCCAGGGATGCTCAAAAAAAATAAAAGCACCACTAATATTTGGATTAGAACAAAGTGCTTTCACTGGGCAAGGTGATCTGTTTAAGCTAAACAAGTCAAGCCTAAAAATATGAAACGGATTAGTTAACTAATGTAAGTTAGCTAATCAAATCATATATTAAAAGTATTGCAAAAATATACTATTCATAAATCAGCCTTGGCATGCTGGAAGGGCTTGTGTGGTCTAGGAATCTTCAGGCCTAAGTTGTCATGAAGCAGTATGCTCCTGGTAGGGGCTCCCAAGTCGAACAGGTCTGGAGTGCAGAACCAGACTAACATGATCCAAAATCCCTGTGATCAAAGGACACAATATATTGTGTACTCTGCCTGTAGAGGGTTACCGAGACCTGTGGAGATGGGTCTGAAGGCCCGAGGGTAGTGTTCCTTGGCGAGTGCCTGGGAGTAAGGAGAGGTGCTGAGCTGTCAACCGATCACCATCTGGTGGTGAGTTGGATCAGATGACAGGGAAGACTGGCAGTCAGACCTGGTAGGCCCAACTGAACAGTGAGGGTGTGCTGGGAATGACTGGCAGAGGCCCCTGCTTGAAATTATTTTAAATCCCACCTCCAGGAGAACTTCTCATCTAAGATAGGTAGGGGACATGGGGTCCGAATGGAATACCTCCATTGTAAAAGCTGCCAGGTGTAGCTGTGGCCAAAAGCTTGTTGGTGCCTGTCAAGAACCCCCTGGTGGACACCGGTGGTGAGGGAGGCCGTCAAGCTAAAGTGAGAGGCCTTTAGAGACTGGTTTGCCTGGAGGACTCCCAACTCAGCAGACAGGTACCGATAGGCAAAAGAGGCAGCAAGAGCAGCGGTGGCAGAAACAAAATCCAGTAGTTTGGAGAGACCATGGAAAAAGACTTTCCGGATGGCTTCAAGGAGATCCTGGTCAACTGTCCGGTGCCTCAGGAGTGGTCAGAGTACCTTTGCTCAAGCTGTACTCAGCAAGGGAGGAGAAACTCTGACCTCGAATGAGGATATTGTTGGTCGATGGAAGGAGGACTTTGAGGAACTCCTAAACCTGAGAGTCATGCCTCCCTCATGGGAGTCAGGGCTTGAGCCTTCTGGGATGTCAGACTCCTTTTCCATGGCAGGTCACAGAGGTAATTGGCAAGCTCCTCTGTGGCAAGGTACCAACGGTGGATGGGATTCGCCCAGAAATGCTTAAGGCTCTGGATGTTGTGGGGCTGTCACGGCTGACATGCCTCTGCAATGTTTCATGGACCTCAGGAACAATACCCTTGGACTGGCAGACCAGGGTGGTGGTCCCTATTTTACTAGAATACCCCCTCGCTACCTCCTGTTGGAGGTTTACCAGGAAAAGCCAACTGGGGTGAGACCCCAGGCAAGCTTTCATGATGCACTGATTTGTTTCCTAAAGAATCAGAATCTAATCAAATTGTTGTGAGGTCTGAGATTTGAGATCTACACCCCAAGCTAGGGGTAGGTGATATGGCAAAAATATCATATCACAACATTTAAAAACATTCTCAACATACCCAATATGTATCACAACACTTCAATGCACTTACATAACGCACTAGTAGTGCCATATTTAAAAACAGCCATCAAAAACTGGGTGCCCCCTCGCCCCCTCGCTACCTCCTGTTGGAGGTTTACCAGGAAAAGCCAACTGGGGTGAGACCCCAAGGTCGTCCTAGGATCCGCTGGAAGGATTACATCTCCAAGTTGTTTGGGAGCAGCTCAGGATCCCCCAGAATGAGCTGGAGGAAGAGAGGGGAGACAGGGTCTTCTGGGATTATCTGCTTACCCTAATGCTACCACGACCCTAGCTGGATCAAGTGGTTTAAGAAGATTAATGAATGAATGACAGATGAATTATGATAAAGCATGATAAAAGTGGCTAGTGAAAAGCAGAAAAGTTCTTAAAATCTTTAGATTGTTTCACAAGAACCAACTTTAGATGAAATAAACACAAATACATAATCTTCAAAAAGAGTTATGATGTATAAAATGCATGGCATCAGTGTTCCACATTTCTGAGGAAATACTGTAGAGGTCAAAGTTAATGTCAAAGTGACGGACTTTCCAGGATCAGCTGAGCCAAATGGGCTTTCCAGGGTCAGCTACACCTAAAACTAATCAGTCCATACACACACATACACACAGAGCACACTGAAAGCAATATGGCAATAACAGTTGGGCTGCATGTGTTTTCAATTCCTTCCTCTGGCGTCAGTCAGAGCTATTGTGATCTTCTGCTCCTTCACAGAGAAAGAGCAAGAGAAAGAGAGAGAGTGCACAAGAGAGAGAGGAGAGAAAAAAGGATCCAGCTGTGTTTTTCCCCCTGGCTTGCTGGAAATGAGCATAGAGCTGCCAGGAAGAGGAATGCAGATCATTCCCTGGAGCAGAGCAATGACGTGGGAGCAGCGTGGGAGACAGAGTGGGCGTAAATGATAATGGACAGAGGGAGAGAGAATCAGAGGGGAGGGTCCTTGGCTATCAACTGGTCTTGGTAGATATAGTTTTAGCTGAGCATCTTTTCCTCCATAGCTGGAGCCAAGCTCAGCCGGTTTCCTTACATGTTCTCCTACTTTAGGCAGTTCTTCTTATATTTATTCTGTAACTATTACCTTTTTATAATTTTTAAACACAGTCACATGCTAAATAGTAATACCTCTGGTCAAATGACATGTTTTGTTGAACTGCTAAGTAAAAATTAGACAACACATCATCTACAGGAAACAAACTTAAGTGTGGCATTTTTTCCTGCAAATTTAGTGCAAATTTCTATTTATCTAATGAGTTTATTATATTAAAAAAAACAAAAGACAGTACAAAATGCATCAGAAAATTCTATGTTTTTTCCCCCAATATGTTACATTCAGCAAATTAAGAGTAACTGTTCATTACAATGTTAAGGATTGTCTTCTCTAAAGAGAATGTGAACTTATTTTCACCTAAGAAATTAACAAAACATGTAATTTGACCTGAAGCATTCAAACTTTTGCATAAGACGTTATGTGCATACGTTTATGAATAGTTTTTTAGACAAACACAGGCAGTGTCACCACATATACTGCATTCATACATGCATATGTTCATACACGTCGTTAAATTAGAGCACAAGGGGTGAAATGCAACAGAATGTCAAGGTTAAAACCATCACTGACTACTGAATGACACTGAAAACAGAAGGGCAATAAAAAAAAATTCTAATGTTTGAATGATGCATGAACCAAACACTAAATGTATTTATTTCTTTTCATGTTTGGGACTTAGTTTGACAAAAGAGATCTACAGAGGTGTGTGCTTGTGTAGTGTCAAAACACTTTTCACCATGCTTTCACTATTATAAATAACAAAACACTATTCACTGTGCTTTTTGATTCTACAATCCAGTCTATACAGTCTCATGTTACTAGCTTACAAGTTTTTATTTTTTATTATTTATTTTTTTTTTATTTTTACCCGATTTTCTCCCCAATTTAGTCGTCTGCAATTCCACCCGCTAGTTAGGACTCCCCCAATCACACGATGCTATCAACGCTAGGAGGGTGAAGGCTAACACAGGCTTCCTCCGAGACCTGTGAAGCCAACCACCGCTTCTTTTCAAGCTGCCGCTCACGCAACGTCACTGGGCAGCCGAGCGCGCTTGGAGGAAAGCGCCAACCGCCAGATCTGTTACGTCAGCTAACAGACGCCTGTGCTGACTAGCATCGCGTTAAGTGATGGGGGGAGAAGGAGGGCCCATCCTACCCACCCAGAGAGAGCGAGGCCAACTGTGCTCTCTCGGACTCCCGGCTACGGATGGCTGTAGCATCACCAGGGATCGAACTCGCCAACGCTTAGACGGTTGCGCCACTCGGGAGCCCGTACAAGTTTTTATTTTAATTCTAATGTAATCTGTCTCAGACTTTCAGACACTTTTGTTTGTTCAATGTTTAGTAAAAGGTGACAGTGTTGACTGTGACAATGACTGTGTTTACCTGTTAAAAAATACATTCAGCACAAGAGGAGCATCTTACCATGGTGGGTAGACACAGATAGTGTCACCTATAGCTGGTGCCAAGTGAGTGGCTGTATCCTTGCTGAAAAGAGCCACACATGGCTCTTCCTTCTCGTTAGGTCTCTCGCACAACGCAGCCTGCATCCCACAAAGGTCCCGCACGTTCCGCACATGTAGCACTAACACACCTGGTCTTTCCTCTGAAACAGCCCGCACAAAACACAATTAGGGCAGATATGGATGCAACTAAGTTAAAAATTACATATTAAATATTCTTCCAAGCAGAACTAAACTCTGTACTCTTCCAAGCAGAAAAATGCACTAATATCAGTTAAATGAAACAAAATATTTATCCTGCAAATAATAAGTGTGCAGTTCAAAGAAACAGGTGTGATTATGTGGACAGTTTTGTACTAAATTGTGACTATGGACAACTGTACACACATACATATATACACATTATATATATATATATATATATATATATATATATATATATATATATATATATATACACACACACACACACATACACACACACACACATATACACATATACATATATATATATATATATATATATATATATATATATATATATATATATATATATATATATCTCTTGAAACTTCTTTAAGAATTAGGAACTTGTAAGCAATTGGACTCTCGTCCAAGGAAACGCGACAACCAAGGTCTTCCTTTTAATATATTGCGGTTTTAAGAACAATAATGTTCATATAGGGTTCATGCACATTACAACTACTACTTTAATCCGAGTCCCAAAACACTAACTGGACCAAATCCACTTGTGTCCCTTACCATTTGTTTACAGTGATGCTCCTACAAAATTACTTTCCAAATTTTCAAATATCGAGAAGCATATTTTGTGGGGAAAGCATGTTATTATTTAGTTTCCATTTTTGGTATTTCTTTTGCTTTTTTTCATTTATTAGATTTTGACTGGAATGATCTGATCTGACTAGCAATTAGACCAGGAATCCATGTAATCGTTCATGGTCTTGTACTGTCTAGGATCAAAAAGGGTGCCTTGCCATGAGAGGTAAATTCTTCATGCTAATATAATGCTTCAATTATGTTATCTGGCAACAGATATAACCCATGGAGATGCACAGCACTTTTACTTGAGGGTTTAGTTGGCATATAATAGGCTACGAGTTTGAATAAAATCTCTCTTAGACAACTCTCAGAAAGTTTTATAGACCAAACTTCAGCTTACGTTTAGATTCTCAGCTTTGAGTTTGAGATTGTTATTTGTGTGGGGGAAAAAGCTACACAATACCTGTTGATATATGTTTATCTTTGCACTTAATAGTACCACTCTTTTCCACTCATGCATTTAGGGCCTTTTCTTAATTTTCCACCATCAACTGCCAGTTGAGAGTTAACATCTGCACCTAGCACTCACAGATACATGCACACACACACGCACAGGCACACACACACACAAACATAGCACCTAAAGGCCAGCTGAGTACAAGAACACAGAAAATCGTTATACCATGGAAAATGAAAATGAAAGAGTTTACATGCATATGCCTGTGTGTGCAACTTCCTGTCACTACTAAAGGATAAGCCTGCTGATAGCAGTACACAGTGTGCAACCAGGCAAAAGACAGGTTACATCTCCTAACTATGGCTGGTCAAAAAACAAGCCTCTACCTGCATCTTTGCAATATGACCAAAAATGAATATTAAGATGGAGTAACAGCATACAAATGTAAAAGAAAGTAAAGAAAGAAACTCCAAAAAGTGGCTTGACCCTCAAAAACTAAAAGAACTAAAACCATTAAGTAGCACTTAGTCATACCTAAAAACTGGTAATCATCAATAGCGTGAGCAGGCTGAATGTGGGAATGAGTGATTAAGTAAGACAGATAGGCTTATCACAGAGGACGGATAGCATAGACATAACCTAAATGTCTTGCTTTCATCAAGCAATGTTTGAGTTGATTCGCATTTACTAATAACTTTAACTCCAATGGTATCTTAAATCCACTTATACTTTAAATCCACTGCTACCTCAAATTAATTGCTACCTTAAATCCACTGCCACTTTAAAATGTACTGGTATCTTAAATTTCCTGTTACCTTATATATACACACACACACACACACACACACACACACACACACCCCTACCTTAAATCCACTGCACCCTTAAATCCAATGCCTCCTTAAATCCCATGCCTCCCTAAATCCAATATTTTTGCTGTTATTGCTGTGCATTTGGCTGTAAAGCATGTGAGTCTGTGTGTACCGTGTATGGAGTGTCTGTGTGAGAGATGTGCATTGTGACATCACCTGTGGCAGTTAGTTTGAATGTTCTGTACATTCTACCATTAATTTTCAATTTGAGCAATCGTTTTATGAAAAATGTACAACAGATAAGTTTAAATTTAAATTTACACATAACCTGTAGTATGCATAAGTTCTGCTGTAAAAAAATCTGTTAAATGACTTGTCAATTTGATCGATGGGAAAACTTGCAAGACAACAAAATACATCAGTTTGCGTTGCCAATCACTTCTGCAGGATTGAATACACTTGTTTTTATCAATCGGAGATAGAAAAATAAAAAAAAATAAAAAATTAGACATCCTAGCCACAGATTTTCAACACAACACAGACAGAAACACAGCCCTGAGTCCTATTTTACCAGTGTGTCTGGCACTGATATGTTTCTACAGGGGTCATTACAAAACCTTGTGGGTAACACTATTCAAGTACACAAGTCAACTGTGTGCAGAACAATAAGAGCACGTCCATCAGTGCTCAGGTTGGGTGACACTGACCTTATTATTGAATACATAACACAGATTATTTAAAAAATATAACTGAGAAAGCTAACATTACCTTTGTCATTTTGCAGATTCAAATAGCAAATATATTAGCCACAGCTTTGCTAACATTACCGACCATTCATTGATAAACTGCCGTTAAAATATTGTGCACAAGATCCCCAGTTTGAACATAGGAAAAATTCCAAGCAGCAGCCGAACAGAACAAACACTTATACAAGAAACGGATGTTTTGAGGATACCTTATTTTTTTACCTGAGAATACTTCATTGTAGAACAGTCTCTTTTTTTTTTTAAATATAATATCTTAAACATACCTTAATCAAAGTAAATGCAGCATGGAAAGAGACAAATACAAGTGATTTCACTGCATGGTGAGATTATGCATGCAATGTTTCCTGTTTATGTTGGGTAGTGCTACTGATTGGCTGCAGAGAGTGAAACATCATTCTGTGTGACAGTGTTTTGATCTACAATCACTTTACACATTACTAGTTAAGATGTAAGGCACGCAAGTGTCTGTGGTGCAACTAAAATTCTGTGTTGCTTGTTTTAAATTAACTACTCTCAACGTAAGGTTTAGGATGGACTTTGCACCCCAACTGACGATACGTTCAGCTGGTGCAACTGGCTGCTGATATCTTAAATAAACTTGTCCCTTAAATTTACTGGCACCTTAAATACACTGCACCCTTACATCTACTTATACCTTATATCCTCTGATGCCTTAAATACACTGTTACCTTAACGTATAGTGTGTGTGGTATGTAGAATGTGTATGTGTGTTGTGTGCAGTGTGTGTGATGCATTTGTGGTGTGTGTATGGTGCATTTGCGGTGTGTGTGTTGTGTTGAGTGTGTGGGGAGTACGGTGTATGTATATGTACGCCGAGTATGTATATGTGGTGTGTATGTTGTGCGTGGTGTGTTGAGTGTGTGCAGTTGAATGGTGTGTTTGTTGTATTGAGTGAGTTGTGTGGGTGTGGTGTGTGTTAAGTGTGTGCATGTGGTGTGTTGAGGGTGTGTTTATGTTATTACTGTTGTCACTTGTCACTGTTTTATTTTGGTTGTAACTGTTTTATCACTGCTTTATTTGTTATAATGGTTTTACTTTTGTTACTACTGTTATTACTATTGTTAATACTACTATTATTACTTTGCATTAGGCTGTAGGCATGTGAGTCACTGTGTACTGTGTACGCGTGCGAGAGATGCACACTGTGGCATCACTTGTGGCAGTCTGAATGTTCTGAACATTCCGTCATTCATTTCTAATTAGAAAAAATTTGTCTTTGAACAATAATTTTCTGAAACCGTACATGGAATCAGTCCAAAAAGCAAAAGAGCACTATTCCTGTATATGAGGAATGTTTGTGCAAAATATGGTGCTTGTACGTCAAACTGTGGACCATGAAGAGTTTACCAAATTTGGACGCAGAATAATAATATGAAGAACATTGCGGAGAACAGCAAGTTGGCTTTTTCAAGCCAAATTAATTATGATATCTCCAAAAACATCAATATTGTCTGGGGCAAAAAACATCCAGCTTTCAAAATATATACATACACACACACAAAAAAAGAAAAAACTATTATTTCCACATCACATGAAATATAGATGCATTTTCAGGATGGTAACCTCACCGGTTCATCACATTCACAGGAAAGCAGCATTCAGCAATTATGTTACGAGTGAGTAACTTTTTTTCTGTAGAATAGTATGTTGCCTAAAAACAAGCAACAGGTTCAGGCGGGTTTGTTCCCACATGATGGGTGTGAGGGAGATGCCAAAAACAGAAAATGATCCACTGAAGTTCTTCAGCAACTGCACATAAAATGGCATCTGATGCACTTGCAATGTTTTGAATTAGCAATCAATTTTATATTGTTCTAATTCATTACGACCTACTGCTAGATCAGAGCAAAGGACACTTAGCCAGGAGCCTAGGGACTTAGCAATGGTGTTAGGGATTCTGTGCAGCCCATTCTTACACTTAAGTAACCTTAAGTGGATTTCACTGGACACCATTTTGTGGCGACAATTACCTCAGTTAACATGAGCATCACAACTGTCTGAAATCCCCACAGCAAGCGTACTGATGACATTAACAACATGCTATGGCCAATACAGAGTTTGCCATCTGGTATTATGCCCTTAATTTATTAGCTTCCTTCAATGAGAAGTAGGACACCAAAGTAGCAGCTTCTTACAATCAGAGAAGATTCTAGTGGGATGTATTTTATGTGACCAGGGTATTAGCATTACTCATGGTGTCACTGCATGACTTGCAGGATTGGGATTGGGTTATTTTAAAAACTTATTTCAGTACAGATTACAAACTACATGTTAAAAAATGTAATAGGTAACCTAATTCAAAAGATTACTTAATCAATCTGACTACATTCCATTACTTTTGGATTACTTGTCTTTTTAAAGTCATATTAAATAAAGACGGGTTCAAACAAGTTTCAATCAGACATCTTTAAACAAGGCAAACATGAAAAAAGGCACTGTTTTATGAAACAAAATGATATAGTTTGCAAATAACTGCCAAAACTATGCCAGTGGCTAGAATTTTATTTTAAGTGGAGAGGTTGGGATGCCAGCTAGGAAGCATAATGTCCCAGAGACATCGCTATAGTGAGGTTGACAACCACCAACTAGCCAACATTTTATTTAGCTTCCACAATCAGAGATAAAAAAATCTAAATTTTAGAAGTGTTGATCTCACATTTAACTGCCTGGTTGGCTTACAGCTGACAGCACATCACAGCAGGTAAAGGCTAGTTACCCGAGTCTCACCTTTTACACAGACAACAGGGCAAATGCCTGAAGACTGCCATTTTCTTGTCATTTTTGCAGTAATAAACGGTTTTGTTTAACATGGTCAACTTACCTCGCACACTATAGCTGTTATTTAGAAAAAAAGGCAGAAGGTGCTATTGGGTAACGTAACTGACGAGATTTTCGTTAAGCTCAGATGTCTGTAGCCCAGTTTAAACTAATTTTGGAAATGCAGCGCCATACGTGATAAAGCGGAAGGCAAACTAATCCATCTGACATTTGTTAAAAGTTGTATTTGCTGAGACCCAACCTTCTGTGCAGCTTGGATGTAATACCAATGACACTGAACAACAGCAAAAGTTCAAAAACTGAACAGAGAACGATTAAATTTACAAAAAAGGTGTTTTTTGTGTGTGTGTAGTAATGCAATCCTATTTGCCCTAATTTTATAATGTGCATCATCTCTGATGGCCATCTAGAATTCATTAAACAAATTACATTCATAAGTGTTTACTGTTTGTAAGGTTTATGGTGCAATTTCTCAAAAGCCATTTTGGTAAATGGTAATTCTGGTCTTTATCCAGCTACAATTCTATAACTCTCTCACACCCATATAAAGAGTGTACCTCTCTTACCTGTAGCTGTGGTAATGCTGGACACAGACTGGTGCCTCCAGAAGCTTACAGCTGACCTCTGTCGGCACTGTAGCCTATTCAGCCTCTCTGCAAGTCCCCTACTACGAAGCCAAAAGACAGATTCACATATCAACCTCTTAGCAATATAAGCATTTGAAACAGAATACATAAAGCCTCTCTGCCAGGCTTCTATTGCAATCATCAGCAGGCTGCATCCCTTAATGCAAAAAAAAAACCCTGACATTAATTAATTAATTACTTTTAACATTAACACATTTGCAGTAGATTGTAGGATTATCACATTTACTACACCAGTCTTGCTTAGCAGAAATCTTTCCTTCAACACATTTAATAGTTTTCTGTACTTGACACAAAGACAATGTTGTTTGGTTTTTTTTTCTGCAAATTGGTGTCAGCCACAATGACATTTCAAGCTGACTAAATATGCTTTTAGCAAAATTAGGATACTAATATGGTAGCAAAAACAGACTTAGACAATAGCATGACTCCTGGCATTTAAAAAACAAAAAACATATGAAACGGTTTTTCCAACAGAGAAAAACAATTTAACAATGCAAAAAATCATTTATACATTCAAAGGGTTGGGTGTTTTGAGTGTTCATGGTTTTACACATAACCATTGCCTTCATTAAAGAACCCTTAGACATACACAAAAATGCACAAATAATAATTCAAATAATTCAAGTAGACAAGGTCCTGTCCCAAACTTTTTTGACAAAGTCAACTGCTGCAGACATGTGCTTTTGCATGATTCAACCTGGCAGTGGCCTGTTCCAGTACCAGTATATTCATAAAATAGGGCAAGAACGTAGATCATGCTCAGTTCTGCACAAAATTTCAAAATTCTTTTCTTCACTGCTGTCAAAGAAGCCATTACTATTTTCTTTTGACTGGGTTTTAAGTTAAGTATTGAATCATCTTCAAGCAGAAACATGGCTGGATACAAGGGCAGATCTACTTCTAGAAGAGAGCGGTAATAATAATAATAATAATAATAATAATAAATCTTGATTTGTGTTGTGATGATTGCAATGCAAAAATTATTAAAGATATTAAACTTTGAAACTTTTCCACCAAGATAAACAATGCTTACAGCCCACCATGCAGCATGTAGGATTAGCATAACGCCAGAACAATAATAAGCAGGATGTCCTTCGCTGAATCTAACAGATTCACTAGGAAAAATAAAGCTGGAAAGGACAACAAAATCTAATCTGTTATAAATATTTTTCCAATGTACAGTATTTTTAATTTGAGGTATTTTTGATAAATGATTATGCTATTGCTTCCCACAACCTGATCACAGCAGCAAGGTTTAAACCCTGAACAAATACTACTTCAGTACACTTACTGTAGTGACTTGCTAGACAGGGATGATGAAGAAACCTAGCCATTCAATTGCAACAGAACAAGCAAGTGTGACTCAGATATCTGGTAAGCTGTTTTCAGTGATGAAAAGTAAAAAGGCCATGAGTTTGCAGGAAAAGAAGGAGCAACTGCAGCAACTTTATTCTTTATTCAAATTTATTCTTTCCTTCCTGTTTCATCCCTACATTCCTATTGTTGTCAAAACAGTTTGTTTTAAGAGGTGTAATGCCCAGAAATGTAACATTTTATTTTTAAATGTTTTACTTAAATTTCATTTTATACATCCTATCTTGATAAATGGTTTTGTATATTACAACAGAATATCCAGAGTTCAAAAATAGTATTGACCATTACAAAATTAGCACAATAATTATCGATAATTATCAGTGTTGAATGATACTGAAAATACATTATATGGACAAAAATAATGGGACACACCTCTTAATGATTGAATTCAGGTGTTTCATTCAGTCCTTTTGCCACAGGTGTATAAAATCAAGCACCTAGCCATGCAGCCAGGGGTCTTTCTAAAGTACTCAGTGAATTTGAGCGTGGTACTGTAATCATTGCAACAAGTCAGTTCACAAAATTTCTTCCCTCCTAGATAATCCAAGATCAACTGTGAGTGGTACATTTCCACTTTAGGAACCACAGCAACTCGGTCACAAAGTGGCAGACCACGTAAGTTACAGAACAGGGTCGGCGCTTGCCAAGGCGCATAGTGCAAAAATGCCGCCAAAGCTCTGCTGACTCAATAACTGCAGTGTTCCAAACCTCCTCTGGCATTAACATCAGCACAAAAACTGTACACCTGGAGCTTATGGGTTTTCATAACTGAGCAGCTGCACCCAAGCCTTACATCACCAAGCACAATGCCAAGCGTCAGATGGAGTGGTGTAAAGCCTGGACTCCGGAGCAAATGTATTCAGTGGAGTGACTAATCACAATTTTCTATCTGGCAGTCTGATGGACGAGTCTGGGTTTGGCGAATGCCAGGAGAACATTACCTGCCTGACTGCACTGTGCCAACTGTAAAGTTTGGTGGAGGAGCGATAATGATACAGGGTTGTTTTTCAGGGGTTGGCCTAGGATCCTTAGTTCCAGTGAAGGGAAATCTTAAGCATACCAAGACATTTTAGACAACTGTATGCTTAAAGCTTTGTAGGTACAGTTTGGGTAAGGCCCTTTTCTGTTCCAGCATGACTGTGCCCCAGTGCGCAAAGCAAGGTCCCTAAAGGCATGGTTAGGTGAGTTTGGTGTGGAAAAACTTCTGGCACGCACAAAGCCCTGACCTCAACCCCACTGAACACCTTTGGGATGAACGAGAACAAACTGCTCTTCTAGATGAATGGGCAAAAATTCCCACAAACGCACTCCAAAATCTTGTAGAAAGTCATCCCAGAAGAGTGGAAGCTTTTATAGCTGCAAAGGGGGGGGCACTTCCATTTTATTATCTATGTATAGTAGTAGCCACCTTAAAGCCTGAATTTTAACATAATTTTGCACAACAGTATGCCAGAATATCAGAAACGGCAAGCATGTCTATTTGAGGGTATAAGCTTGTTATATACTAGTTAGCTACGTTAGTCTCATAGTACCCATGCAAAAGAAGCAAAACGATTGACATTGGCTGCTTGTCTACATATGCAATAAAGGGGAAATAAAGAAAATTAGATTTTTTTGGCAATGTCATGAGGTATGAGGTATGATCGGAGGTCAGACTTATTACAAATGAGATATCAGATGTTATCAACTCAATAAAATTTGTTTAAGGCTGCTCATATACATGAATCCCTGTCTTGTTTTAATCATATTCAGTGTGTCTGTGGTAGAATGTATTTATATATCCAGCCGACATAACACTACTACACATTTGAGGCTGCTTAATACAGAGTGTGCTTACATTCTAGTTTCTGATGAACCACTTGTAATCAGCACCTGAAATTAATGTTTCTGAAACTACATAGCTTCAGTGCAAAGGTCACTCACTCATTGTAGATAAGGGTGCTAGGCTGCTAGACTTAAACTACTTTTAGGTGACGGGTAAAGTGGTACAATGTGCAAGGTTCTAGGGTTGACACCCACTAAGGACAAGGTCCTGTTACACTTACTGTGCTGCGAAACAAAATTTCTGTATGAAACACTGCACTTGATTTGTTAATGATATTAGTATTAGCCAAGTTGTTTACTTATTTCAACCAAGAAAACAACATGTGATTGAGCTAATAACTTACCATGATCCAATTACTAATAATGCTACTTGACATCCTTGGCTGAGGGTCCACAAAAGTGCCATCACGTGGCCTAACATTGCAGCTTTATATCTACTTTCCTGAACATTATACTATTGCACCACTGGGAGCATGAAGGGAATTAAATGACATTAGGAAAATTTTACAAAAAGAACTGAGAGGAACTATACACAGCAGGGAGGTCTTTTTTCCAGCCAGGTATTACATGACACAGAAAAACACAGCTATACGTTTATCTATGCAGAGGACTACTGGCCTTTTCAATGCTATTTTTCCATTCAATTATGGAATGGAATGAAAAAACTTACATGGCTGTGTGTATACTGTTACTATAACAGAAGGGCTAGTTTTGGTTACAAGCCAGGTCAAGGGTCAGCTGGAGAGCACAGCATTCAGTGGCAGCAGTTAAAAAGGAGACAGCTCCACCATGAGGGAATAAATACCAGCATATACACTGCCAAGAGGCCTTTTACACCTTTTAACTGCAAAATCTGGCTGTCTAATAATAAGAACACCAGTTGAAGAGCATGAGATTTCTTTTTTTTTGTTAGAGAGGTACTGCTACAATTTACTTAATCTATTAATAGAAAACAGATTTTGTCAGAGCCCTATTTCTTAAAACATTCTAAAAAAAGAATTCTGCCAATTTTCAAACATTTCTGCATAAATAAATCATTAAGATGTAAACAAAGTCCTTCAGTGTTATCTGATGTGAAAAGCTTCATTCTAGAGAAACTTAGGAGTCAAAACTGTTCACAGCAGTGGTGATAGGAACCCGATGTTCAAAGCACTTAAAGCCTTTAAAAACTGCCTCACAGAAAGCTATTACATGAAATGGTTACAAATACGCTGCCTACTGCGGGAGACATTGTTTTATGATACTTTTGGCCTTTTTTAATGCGTTCACAGCAAAGTGGCGAAAGATGGGTGGTACCTCCAAAACACTACCCAAAGAAAACGTTTTTTTGGATTTGCCACTATTAGGCTATTAACAAAAATTTAGAAGACATGAGCGTTCACAGATAGTAACATATTATATATTAACAACCAGTAAGTTTTTCTACAATGAACCATTTCACATCGAACCACTCTGAATGACTCTGAATGTGCTCACACTGAACAATTACATAATGCAGGAATTCTGAAAAGTCAATGGAACGCACCTCTAACTGTGAGAAAGAGTTAAGTAATATCCATATTGTCATATGATTACGATTTTGACATATGCTACTATAGTGGGCTTTTGGCATTTCGCCAGTCCATGGTTAATCAAGCACTGCATAACAGCATAATTGAACTTAAATTTTTAGGTACCGGCCCCTTTTGTTGCATTCTCCAACCGCCAACAATCACAAAGTGCTGAGATAAAGGTGAACAGGAAGCTGAATGTGATGACAGAATGAAGGGAACAACCCTATACATGCATGTAAGATATCAACTCAAAAACTAGTCCATACCATTCAAAGCGGCGCCTCTTTTTGCCAGAGTCTTCAGGTGTCTTCAATGCTCTGTCAGTTTGTTTCTGAGGGGTCTGAAGCAGTGCTTGTGCATACCGAACCCACTCACTGACGGACCTTTGGCGGTGCTCTGTTGGTTCCAGAGCAGAGTAGGTCAGCCGTCTGTTCTGCTCTGGAGCTGCCTCACTATCAGAAGAGGAATAGTCTGAGATCTCACCCATCACCTATCATTAAACAGACACATTTCTGTCAGCACAACAAGCACTAAAATGTCTGAGCAAAAACATTACCCTGAATGAAAAATTCCTGGTATAAGATAAAATATCCAACCAATGATTTTCTCAGTTTGTGAATTATGCCCAAAACACCTAAATTATGCCTAAATATAACACCTAAAACTGACAGGTTAACAAGCTACTATAAAATTAAACGGTCTCTTTAAAATACAGGGTGAAAGAAACCAAAATTATTTTTGCAATACAGCAAGCATTTTGTTAAAGATAACAGAAAAAATATCTAAGGCTATTTAATGTGGAATAACAGCATTTTGTGTTCCAATACAATTTTAGGTGAGTAAATTAACTCCAGCTGTAGAGTAAATTACCATAAACATCAGGTCACACAGGCATCATTTGTCCCACAGTCTTTAGCAAAATGTAAACATTTTCAGTGTTTGTATTTATAGGATGTCTGTGATATACTAGCAGTAAATACTTGTATCAATACAGTCATTTTCAAAGATATTAAGATCCATGGAATGTTGCAAATTTGCTGTATTGCACATGTGGACCATTTTTATCATGTGCATTTACTGTGATCATGATATATATTAACAAACACTATTTAGCCAGTTTATAAGGTATACTTGTTCCACAGCTGTACTTAACAGGCTGCCAAACCTTTAACAGCAAAACACACTCTGACACTAGCATTGTACTCAAAGTCTGCTGACCAGCTGAATCTTGCACCCTGTGAAAGTCATGTCATCCTTTATTGATTTCATGAGTGAACTGCTTTTGACCAAAAGGCATGTGTTAGCTGAATGTTTTAGTATTTACAAATACAGCAAAAGCTAAACTTTACTAAGCTAAAGCCCTTTATTAAGTATACCTACCCTTTGGGTAAAAGAATACTTAGCCAGGGATTCCCCAAAGTTCTTTCAGCTTTCTCAGGGATGAGTGCATGAGCAAGGGGGTAGAACACGTTTAACTGACAGGAGCTGTTTTAATATCCTGTATTTTCTGCCTCTGGAGGCAATTCCATTTTGAATGAATGACACACAAACCAAGCTCAAATTCAAATAAATATGTTTTACTTTTAAACATTTCTGTAACTATTGCATAAATGCATATGCACATGTATTCACATACATAAAATATCTAGACAGCACCTGCCTTGTTATCAGAAGAGGTTATTCACAAAAGAGGCCCTTGAAAACACACCACAACAGTGCACAGCATTAGTTATCATCAGCCACGAAAGCAAAATAAAAATCACAACTAACAACTGATGTATTATGTATTTAATGTATGGAATGACAGGTAACCATACAGGTAATAAAAGTAGTTCAAGGTAAATCGAGGCATCCAAAATACGTACATTGGTATCCTCACACCGTATTGAATGAGTTCTAAAAGGAAAATTTAGTATGTGATTAACAGTACAAGAGATGTATGGAAAAAATCTGATCTGGTCTGTTTATCTGACTACATATCAGGAGCATTAACAACTGTTCCTCTCCCAAGGCATTTTCCTTTTTTTAAAATAGTAAATTTTGGCAGCCCAAGATGTATTTCATCTTTACTTTGCGTGAGACTAACTTACATGAAAATAAGCAAATAATATGAGTATCTGGCAATATTAAGAGGGGGGAGGGATAAAAAAATAAAAAAAAACAAGAAGCAGATGACAGAACTAACATGGTCACGATTAAAGGTTGTAATCTGGACCTTCACTGCACCTAAGGATATATGACTCACCTAGGATGTAACGGGTCATTAAAATGCAGAGACAGAAACATGTGCGAGTGTGGGAGAAGAGACACATTCCATAGGTATATATACACACGTATGTATGTGTTTGAACCTGAGACGAACACTGCTCTGTCATAGATAACACACCTGATGCAGTAAAGGAACCGGTTTCTTGTGGAAAATTCCAGTGCACTGCTTGCCTCCATGTCATGTGGAGGCATGATCAGCATTCCAGCAGACCCTGTCAGCCTACGTGCTCTTTTTATTTGACTCAACTTCACCCCACAGGGCTGCCTGCCAGCAGACGTCACACTGCACATGCTCACACTCTCACTCACTCACTCTCTTCTTTTCTGCATGGGTCCATTTCTTCCAGTTCTTCCTTCTTTCTACTTCCCCCCACCTATCATCCCTCTCTTGGTTGATCCCACCCTCTATCCCCCCTCTCTCTAGAACACCATGTTCCTGGCTCTAATTCAAAAATGTGTTCACCCTGCAGTGACTGAAGCTGAATGGAGGAGTACACAAACTTTACACTCTATCAGTTCTCTCATTGCTGATTTTTTTTAATGTATCTAACTGAGCAAAGCCATAGCAAGGAGGCATTTCCTTGCCATGCAGGAACAGGAAGGCCTAAATGGCTTGCGAAGAAAGTGGGCTGACAGCAGATAAGTGTATTAACTTGCCAAGAAGTACGATCAGTAAATGCCAGGTCTCATAAAGTGGCATAGAGCCACCAAGAAAGCACCAAAAACACACTTGAGACATTTGGGAAAAGAAGGGCAACATCTAAATCTAGTGAAATCTAAAACAGGCTCTTCAAGGACTAGCTTTCCTGTGCCAGATTAACTATGTCCAAATGCCAAGAAGCAGAGTGGAAACATTAATTTGCTATTAACTTTATTCTCAAATCTGTTTTGCGCCCAATAGCAAGTTGCACCAGGCAGAGTTTGAGACTGCAGTCATTCTGACAGAATACTGATCTACTTGCTGTGCACTTCACTTTTGACCACTCCATTCTCTATTCTCCACATCAACCCTTAAAACTGAATCTGATCAGACAGATATGAACCCATGCCTTGATAAAAAAACCAAACTTCCATCACCAACCTTGGCCATGGTTGATCAGCAAGTTTAAATAGGCTTTGCTCTATTATACTTTACTGTGTAGTATTATAGGCAGGCTGCCTCTTCATTGCCCTAACTGTGAAAGCTAGATTCTTGTTTTACCTCATAGTTCCCCCTCCAATTCATTCTTCAACTCCAGTGAGTGAAGTCAAGGAAGATGCTGTGGTTCTTTCCTTAACTAAATAATAAGAGCGATAATATAAAATCCATCATCAAATTACAGTCTACCACTGCCACACCAGAAACAAAACAAAAGACTGAAAAACTTTCAATGTTTAAAACACATGAGGCAGAGTCATAGCTTATTATTTTAAATACTTAAATGAAAAGAAATGCTTACCACACTAAACTCACCATTAAAGAACTTTTAAGTGATAACCCAACGCCAATTCTTAACATGAAATATAGATAATGCAGCCTCTAAGTAACTCGACAGTGATGATTTTTGTAGTTTTGGCTCCACATCCCAGCACACTCGAGTGGAAATTAAACAATTTGGGGGTATTTGTATCTGTGCTGCCTGAAACATGGAAATCTTTTTTATACATTTTTAAATGCCTCACTACTGCAATATGCAATACCATTCCTAGAAACAGGGTTTGGTGGGACATTTAAAACTTTCAAGAGATTTATTCTTCAATAGTAAAGAAAAAATATGACTATAACTTTGCACAAGACTACTGGGCAGACTACTGAACGTTTTGTATCACTGAATATAAAATATCAGAACAAATTAGGATAACAAGTTTGTATTATACCAGATGATTATTTTGTACAAGCAACCGTTGCAGAGGGCATTGTGAACCACGCAGTCTGAAAATCCAAAAAACATTTATTAATGGTACAGTTGGCTGGCCAGTTGTTTTGTTGTTAGCTGTCAGTGCATTATTGCAGAAGAGCTAACAAAAGTTTACAGTTAATTCTAAATGTGGCACTTGCATCTGGAGTCTTGCTGTTGGTGAAAAAAAGAGTGAGAAATGAGAATAAATCAAATCAGAGGCACAACTTAATCATTAGGTGTGTCAACATCACATTGGTTAAGAAGCAAAAACTCACTGATGCCCTTGGCAGTAGCAAAAAAATAAATAGACAGCAGACCGCAGAAGACCACATACTTGTTATGAAGAATAACTGTAAAATAGTTCAAGAAGATTATCAAGAATGTTGGCAGAGAGATTTGCCAGTGACTACCATAACAAGGAGAATACACCAGCATGACATCAGTGGGTTTACCACAATATGCAAAGTGCCAGTAACATTCAAAAATGTACTTGTATAAGTGAGATGGCATAAAAAAGAAAAAAATAAATAAATTGACCATTATCTGAAACATTCCATCTCATCTGCAATAGTCTACTGTAGCATGATATGCATACAGCTAATGATGTAATTCAACTGTAAGTGTTTTTTTTCTCCAAGACAAAAAAAGGACAATTTTTATGATTTGCCAAGTCAGTCATCCTAATCTGAGCATGCATTTCACTAAAGGCAAGAATGAAGACCAAAAAAATTGCTGCGTTACAGACCTGGCAAAGCATCACCAGAAAACATAACCAGGGTCTAATGATTCCAGTAGGTCACAAATTTCAGGCAGTCAGTGGGTCACATATTTCAGGCAGCCATCGACTAAAGAGGACATTGACTGAAAAGGGCATGGTTGCAAGCAAATGACAACCCTGACAATTTTATTTAACATTGTTAAATATTTGACATTATTTAACATTATTAATTAATCAATTACTTATGTCCCTTTAAATAGGTTGAAAGGTATAAAGCACCTCAACATTTGGCTGTGGAGCCAAACTATGTTCTCTGATCAGTGATGGAACATTACTGAACACTTCTGGGATGACTTGGAGTGGCATTTGTGATGCAGAACTAATCATTAAATCATCGGTACCAGACCCCAATAATGCATCTGTGACTGAATGCAAATGTTCCAACATCTAGCGTAAAGCCTTTCCAGAAAAACAGAGGCTGTTACAGCAGAAAAAAGGGGTAAACTCCCCAATAATTCCCTTGATTTAAGAAGAAACACTGCATGAGCAGATTGCCGGATTGCTTTTCTTAGACTTGCTACAAGGCAAAACTAGACATATTCAACACATTATTGTAAGTTCAGTAAAATCTTAGAGGAGAAACTATGAATCATTTAAGCCAACAGATACCGCATTTCTTTTAATGCTGTCCCAAGCACCTAGATTCTCGTGTGCTGCAGTCAGTTAAACTTTGACAAATTTATCCTTAAGGGTTCACAGTGCCCTCTAATGGTGACAGAGCACAAAAGCCAGGACTTCATAGATTTCTGAAAGTCACAATAGGTTTACTCACCACAGGATTTTGTTCCTTTGAGGTAGAATTCTCATGTTTCTCATTTTCACTGTCTGAATCAATGGAGGGAAGGTCATCTGTGTCTATAAACAAAACAAATACGCACATTTTCACAAGTTAAAGTTGTTTAAGGGGTACCTTACTGTACATGTAAACTGTTATATTAAAGTGCACAATTTATAAACAAAAACCTCTCAAGATTCTTCTCAAATCCACACACATATTCTTTTAGGCAACTAAATTAAAATTTTGGCTAAAACCTGTAAAAACCATGACTCGCATAGGATTTGACATTTTTGTTTGCTACAGGGTGAAACATGTAGTTTCTGCAAAAAAACATTATTTGTTCCTTATCTAATCTAAATTCATAAAAGGAGGGGACTGTACAAAGAAAGTGTTAACGAAAACAATTAGAATTTACAGTACTATGCAAAAGTCAGAGACCACCCTACAAAGGCAATTAAAACTTTGTTATTCATTTTTCAGGAGATATTTCTGAGGAGTTTTATATATATATATATATATATATATATATATATATATATATATATATATATATATATACACACACACACACACACACACACACACATATATACATATATATATATATATATATATACAAAAAAAAGACAATCCAGATGCACAAAGAAGGGGAAGAAAAATCAGACTTTCTAAAACTGGAGTTCAAAAATTATTCAAAGATTTAGAGAAACAACGAAACTCCTAACAACTGTGTAAGATCTGGACCACAAAACTATCACCACCACATAAACACTACTTAAAGATTCCGTCTTTGAAAGACAGGAGAAAATTACTCCATTCTTGCTTAAGATATGAAAAAAAAAAATCCACAGGTCTTTTAGCCCATCCTTGCACAGTGAGAAGGCAATTTAGTGCTACGGGGTCTGAAAGGTGTCAAGAAGTCATTACAGGTAAAAGAAAATAAGGGGAAAAAAGAAAGGAGTTGTGAATCAAACTAAGGAAAAGCAAATGCAAAAAACTTCTAAGACTGAACTTTGGAGGTGTGGAAAAATATCCCTGCAGATGTCTCTAAAACTGAAACAAGTTTCCCTAAAAAATATGGAAGGTGTAATAAAAACGATACTGTATTTAATTTTTTGACGCTTCTGTGTAAGCTCGTTATGCCCACAATGCCCAAACCTACGCAGGGCACTACAGTAGGCAAGTAAAGTAAGGTGTTACTGGTCAGCTTGTATACATTTTAGTTCATAAGCACTAATAAATTTAACAAGTGTAGCGTTAAGAACTTAGGCAGTGTCTATACCTGCTCCTGTGCTGAACAAACAGAGGTATCTGCTGGAAGAGCTGACCATTGCCTGAGGGCATGGTTTACATTGCGCCAAGTCCGTTGTGGCGTTGAGAGGAAGATGGAGCTGACATTCATTATCAGACTGCTCATCACTTGAGCTCCATGCAATGTGGATGGGATCTTCTTCTCCTGTGCCATGCCTCACTACACAGAGAGATAAAATATTTTCTGTTGTTATATCCCCACACCACAGTGAAAGTGGACTGCAAGTGCTTTTTAACCATTTATATCAACACAGTCTATTGTTGGGAAAAATTTTGCAGCCTTTTATCATCAGCATTACCGTAATGACTAGCTGCCATTTAGTTTACTGAAACCTAATGCATTAAATTGACTTGATTCAAATATGTACATAACATCTACAAGAAAAAACTTTTAACATCAGTGCAATCACTGTGCAAAGCAAGTAAACTAGAAGACTAAATTGTGTTACTTTCTCGTGAAAACAATGCAAACATTTGAATAAAGTCAATTTAATGTATCCCTTTTCCAGTGCATTTGGCAGCAGTACTTTAAAATGCAATACCTAAACCACTGCACACCCCACATTTCTTCCTCTAAAATGAACAATAAAGTACTGAGATTTACAAAATTGGAAGGTGAGTGTTAGTGGCTAACACAAGCAGGGGTTTGGACAAGATCATGCAAATACATGCACACAGATATTCAGAATTCTGTCATTTGATAAATGACAGAATTATAAATTATACAGTTATATATTTTAACTCAACAATAAATACTACTTCTGTAACCACTGCAATCCCAGATGGTCAGTGCAGATTGTTTTCAATAGGAGAACACAGACATACAATAAATAAGTTTAATAAGTTTTGCATTTTCGATTAGATTTAGAATATAAATCTCACTTCCACCAAATGAGAATGAGTTTTTGTGTAAAATTATAAAAACAAAAAGAGGCCACTCATGCTGTGGACTGTGGAGTTACCAAGCTTGGATGACTGCCTCAACTGCTGCACAGTTCTGCACATTCTTCCTGTTGTTTGAGGTTTCTGGAAGACACATAACACTGTGAAATCCCATTTGTCAGACAAACTGACGGTTGACTGACAATATACAGTTCATCTTACTGCACACATAGGTTACCTTGACCACAGGAGCATCCCAGAAGCTCTCACCACATCGCTTCCATGACTTTGTAGCTTTAGAGGGCTCACAGCTCTTCCCAGTGAAAGTTTCATTGACGTCCTCTGGAAACAACACACATCTCATGTCCTGTGTGTTTCTTTTACGCTTTGCAGAAGAGGAAAATGAAGGTCAGTGACATTACCCTTTTAGGGTTAACCTAAATTGTCTCAACTATTGTGGATATGCATTGCCAGATAGAAGGAAGTCGACGAGGCTGAAGTTAGCTCGCAGTGTCTTATTCGCCGGCTGAAGTTAGCTCCTTATTCGTGGCATCTCTTTTAGCGAATGATGGTGAGGGAGTGTTCACAAATGTTATATGCTGCAGTTTTCACTTTTAACAGACTCTGAGAGACTAATGATGGAGACATAATAATGAAGGAGTTAGGAATGTGTACTGTGTTTGCCTTACCATTGTGAATATGAAGATTATGACTAAAAAGGAATAAAATATTTAATTCTGTAAATAAATGATGTTCCTTCAGTTCATTTCTAATGTTTTACTTCATTGCCAGTAGTTTAAAGTATGAGACTGAAGAAAAAAATAAGGCTGAGTTTATAGATTAGATTGAAATCTAATCTAAATCTAAATTTAATGTGTTTAAATTGAATAGTTTTTTTCCAATCTCAGACGCACCTGGCAATATGGCACAATGAGTAAATGCGCATAAAAGAAAATGGATAAGAGGCTGAAATTTTAGAGGGATTTATTTGCGTAGAATGAAACCAATTACAGATTCTAAACACAGAAAAATGCTGTCCCTGTAAGGAAAATCTGGTTTTAGCCTGGCCCACGCTGATTTAATACATTAAAATAACTGAAAACATGGCTCATAGAGTAGCAATGCACACAATGAAATGAATAGGAAGCTGAAAATCCAGGTGGATACTAAAGACATTATTCACATCGGGCCAGAATAATTACATATCCTAGATAGAGATCCAGTCTCCACCTGTAAGGAAAACCTGGTTTTACCCTGGCCCAAGCTAATTTAATACATTAATATACTTGGCAACATGGCACATTAGGTAGTAAAGCACACAATGAAATGAATAGGAAGCTAAAATTCCAGGTGGATACTGAAGGCCTTATTCACATTGGGCCAAAATAATAACATATCTGAGATGGAGATTCAGTACTGTAAGGAAAATCTAGTTTTAGCTTGGCCCAAGCTGATTTAAAATAAAAAAAGTAAAGATTAAAAATGGTAAATGCAAAATAAGCTGAAATTCCAGGTGGATATTAAAGGCCTCATTCACTTCAGGCCAGAATAATAACATATCCTAGACAGAGATCCAGTCTCCCACTGTAAGGAAAACCTAGTTTTAGCCTGGCCCAAGCTGATTTAATACATTAAAATATTTGACAATATGGCACATTATGCAGTAATGCACACATGTAAATTAACAGGAAGCTGAAATTCCAGGTGGATATTGAAGGCCTTTTTCATATCAGGCCAGAGCAATTACATATCCTAGATAGAGATCCATTCTCCCACTGTAAAGAAAACCTGGTTTTAGTCTGGCCCAAGCTGATTTAATACATTCAAATAACTGGCAGTATGGCACACTGTGCAGTAATGCACACAGGCAAATGAATAGGAAGCTGAAATTAAAGGTGGATAATGAAGGCATTATTCACGTTGGGCCAGAGAAACTACATATCACAGAGAGACAATCAGTCTCGCACTCTAAGGAAAACCTGGTTTTAGACTGGCCCAAGCTGATTTAAAACAATAAAATAACTGGAAACAGCACACTGAGCAGTAATGCACACAGAATAAGATGCTCAAAATCCAGGTGGATGTTAATGGCATTTTTCACATTAGGCCAGAAAAATTACATATCCAGTCTTCCACTGTAAGGAAAACCTAGTTTTATTCTGGCCCAAACTGATTTAATACTTAAAAATAACAAGCAACTTGTTTTCCTGAGCAATGGTTCACACAGCAAAATAAAAAGAAAGCTGAAATTCTATATAGACTTTGTTAGTTCTAATGGCTATGGCCCAGAAAAAGCAAAATCTTCTAAAGAGAGTGTGCATCCCACTCTCAAGGAAATATAAATTTAGTCTTGTCCAATGTGATGTCATACCTAAAAATAACCGGCAACATGGTGTACTAAGCAATAGTGTGTTTAGATTAATAATGTTACATTTTAGATTTTGAACGCATTAATGATGATGAGCTAGAACCAGCTGGCAAAATGGCATATTGATTGAGCATAAAGTTATGAAAATCAAAGTAGATTAACAGCTGATATTTTCAAGGGTCAGTCATATAAGAAATCGTCAAAAGATATAATAGCAAAAATTCCACCTCCAGATCACAAAAACATCCTAAACCATGGCTTGTATTCCTAATATATTTAATTTTTTTTCCTTTGGTTAAAAAGCCTTATAAGGCTTTAACGCCCATGAGTTTTTCAAGTTCTTTGCTTTCCAGTTATTTGTAGAGTCAAGTGTACATACTTATTCTTTGCTATACTATATCCACCTGGAATTTTAGCTTCCTATGGATTTACCTGTGTGCATTACTGCATACTGTGCCATATTACTGCATAATGTGCCATATTGCCAGCTTTTAATGTATTAAATCAGCTTGGGCCAAGCTAAATCTAGGTTTTTCTTATAGTGGGAGAGTGGATCTCTATCTCAGATACAGAATTATTCTGGCCTGATATGAATAAGGCCTTCAATATTCACCAGGAATTCCAGCTTTCTATTCATTTTCCTGTGGGTACCACTGCTCTATGTGCCATGTTGCCAATTATTTTTTTAGTAATAAATCAGCTTGGGCCAGATTTTACAGTGGGAGACTGGATCTCTGTTGGGGATATGTAATTATCCTGGCCCAAAAGGAATGAGTCCTTCAGTATCCAGCTGGAATTTCAGCTTGTTATTAATTATTTTGTGTGCAACACTGCCCAATGTGCCATGTTGCCAGTTATTTGAATGTATTAAATCAGCTTGGGCCAGACTAAAGACAGGTTTTCCTAACAGTGGGAGACTGGATCTCTGTGTCGGATACGTAATTACCCTGGCCCGAAGTGAATAATGCATTCAGTATCCACCTGGAATTTCAGCTTCCTATTCATTTCATTGTGTGCATTACTGCTCTATGTACCACGTTTCCAGTTAATTTAATGTATTAAATCAGCTTGGGCCAGTCTAAAACTAGGTTTTCCTTACAGGGGGAGACTGGATCTCTGTCTGGGCTATATAATTATCCTGACCTGACATGAATAAGGCCTTCAATATCCACCTGGAATTTCAGTTGCTTAGGCATTTACCTGTGTACATTGCTGCCCAATGTGCTATGTCACCAGTTATTTTAACATATTAAATCAGTTTGGACCAAGCTAAATCTAGGTTTTTCTTAAAGTGGGAGAGTGGATCTCTATCTAGGATATAGAATTATTCTGGCCTGATGTAAAAAAAGCCTTCAATATTGACATGGAATTTCGGCTTCCTATTCATTTCATTGTGTGAATTACTGCTGTTTGAGCCATGCAGTCTGTTATTTTAATGTATTAAATCAGCTTGGGCCAGGCTAAAACCAGGTTTTCCTTACAGGGGGAGACTGGATCTCCATCTCGGATATGTTATTATTCTGGCCTAATGTGAATAAGGCCTTCAATATCCACCTGCAATTTCAGCTTCTTATTCATTTTATTGTGTGCATTACTGCATAATGTGCCATGTTGCCGGTTATTTTAATGTATTAAATCAGCTTGGGTCAGGTGAAAACCAGATTTTGCTTACACTGGGAGAGTGGATCTCTGTCCAGGATATGTAATTATTCTGGCCCGATGTGAATGAGGCCTTCAGTATCCACTTGGAATTCCAGCTTCCTATACATTTCATTGAGTGAATTACTGCTCCATGAGCCATGCTGGCAGTTATTTTAATGTATTAAATTAGCTTGGCAAGGCTAAAACCAGGTTTTCCTTACAGTGGGAGAATGGATCTCTGTCTGGGATATGTAATTATTCTGGCCCGATGTGAATAAGGTCTTTAGTATCCACCTGGAATTTCAGTTTCCTATTCATTTCATTGTGTGCATTGCTACTCTATGAGCCATGTTGCCAGTTATTTTCCTTAAGGTTTTTCCTTACAGGGACAGCATTTTTCTGTGTTCAGAAACTGTTATCGGTTTCATTCCATGCAAATAAATCCCTCTAAAATTTCAGCTTCTTACCCATTTCCTGTTATGCACATTTACTTATATTGCCAGGTGCGTCTGAGATTGGAAAAAAAACTAATCAATTTAAACACATTAAATTTAGATTTAGATTAGATTTCAATCTAATCTATAAACTCAGCCTTATTTTTCTTCAGTCTTATACTTTAAACTACTGGCAATTAAATTAAACATTAGAAATGAACTGAAGGAACATCATTTATTTACAGAAATGTTTTATTCCTTTTTAGTCATAATCTTCATATTCACAATGGTAAGGCAAACACAGTACACATTCCTAACTCCTTCATTATTATGTCTCCATCATTAGTCTCTCTGAGTCTGTTAAAAGTGAAAATCGTGAAAACACTCACTTACAGTCATTCGCTAAAAGAGAAGCCGCGAATAAGGAGCTAACTTCAGCCGGCGAATAAGACGCTGCGAATAAGGAGCCAAACGAATCGGAAGCTGCGAATAAGTAACTTCAGCCTTGTAGGAAGTCAAGATAAACTTTTGTGACTTTGTACACGACAGAATTACAATGAGGCAAAAGTTAAACACAGGTTGTTTTAATATAGATTAGCTACAGTATTATAAGACTAAGTTAAGTAACGTTAAGTTAGCTTAATGTCCGATAGCCAGGTAGCGTTAACGTTAGCCAAGATACTAACTTAGGTTAGCGTTGATAAGTTTTCTTAGCCAGTGGCTTACTGATAACTCACCTTTGAAAAAGAAGACATTATGTCAGTCCAGAAGCTTGAACTTTGTATTTGACATCTGAGTAGGGATGCAGTTTATTTATTTTAGGAAAGGGTAACTTTAGCCTCCAGTTAGCTAGATACCCGTTAGTTCTAGTAGAACTCTCACTCGCACGACAATAAGAAGTTAGGCAACGGACGACGCGCGAGCGCACTTATTCTCGCGGGCAATGACCAGTGTCTTCTTCTGCATTTCCTTCAATGGAGCCACTGCCCTCTACTGAAGAACGAAAGTAAGTTCGGCTAGAGAAGAAAACCTTTTAAAAAATTTCAGAATACATCATCAAACATGCAGCTCAAGCGATATTAGTTTCACTTAAAGTATCACTTATCTTCATTTTTTGCTGAAATATGTCAATGTTTGTTGTCCCATTTGCTGCATTTGACCACCCCTTTACATAATTATTAGAGTGTATTTACTCTAATATGAATAGGCATTTTTAGATGGAAATTAAACATGATCTTATTGCTTAATATTATTCTCCCCGCCCGTGTAAGATTACGAGAAAACAAGAATGTTGTATTTTTATGGTGGACCAGATTTGCCAAATTGAAAAATAAATAAAATTAAAAAATAAATGGCTCAGTAAATTAATCAATAAATAAAAAAACTAAATAAAAACTAAAGTATATATTGCTTATTGTGATTGTAATTATACACGTATTTCCTTTTTTTGCAGTTATATATTTCTCGATTCATTTATTTCTGTATTATTTATTTTGTTTTATTAATGCCATTTTTATATTTTTTCCATATCTATATTTTTAACAATTGTTCGCTTTATTCATTGATTCATGTATTCATTTTTTTATTAATTAATTTATTTTTTCATTAATTCATTTATTTATTTATGTATTTCGTCGTTCATATGATAATGAGGGGGCGTGTTTTTCACGTTCAGGCTTAGCAATCAAGACCAGGAGGAAGAAGAGCTGATTAAACTGTTCTTTCGCCAACTCCATAAAGAACTGCAGTGCCACAGACAGACAAACCTGCCGATAAATAACTCTCGATGGCTTCCACAGGCAGTATGTGAGAAGGGCGTCCAAATGTCTGAGTTTGATCTGAATTTTACAGAAAAAGACGATGAACCACCTCCTCCAAAGTTCTGAACACTACTGGTCGATCTCCGTATCAGCAGAGGCAGCAAAATGGACCAGACTGTCCCCACAGCCTCCACACGAACGAGTAAATAATCCGGACCTTCATTTTCAGCCAGATCAGCCAAGACTTTCAGATCTCTGGCCGTCTGCTGCCTGTGAACAGCCATTACGGTACTGTCTTGTCCTTGGTTACCGCTGAGAGAGCAAGACATGTACAATCGATCTACAGAATCTGACATCGATCAACCAATAGGAATATTAAGACACTGTGACATCATTGACTGACAGCCCCTTTATTAGCATAAGGACAAGGAAATCCAAAAAAAAATAGAGTAATAAATAAATATAGAAATTAATAGTTATGGAAATAAATTGATAAAATAAATTAATAGAAAAACAGAAAAAATGTTAATAAAGAAACATAAATAATAAAAAAAATAAATACAAAAATTAGTGAGAAGGGGAAATTACAAAATAGACATAAATAAATGCAGACATATTAATTTTCGTAAGATTTTATTTATTAATATATTAATTGTTATGTATATTTATTTATTTTAAGATTTATCATCATTATTCTTTGCCATTCTACTTCATATATTAATTTACTAAGTCATATATTTTTCAATTTGGCAAATCTGGTCCTCCATATATTTTGACTTACGTGCCTAATATGACCAGGGATATGAACTAAAAATGTTTGTTTTTAAAAAGTCAGTTTTGATTTAATTTGACTTTAACAAAGCCCAGAAGCAAGGATGGATTACGATCAACTAGCCATACAAATAGCCTTATATAATGACTAAACGAATGCCCATCTATTGCCATTATATTTAAAATAATTAAAATCCATATAACATTAAAATGTGCAGAAATATAACTGCAGGAGTCTATTGGACATTATTTGAAAATTAATAATTTTGGTTACATTTTTCCACCATATTTCAGCACTGTCTTGCTGAAATATGCAAGGCCTTCCCTGAAAGAGTTTGTCTGGATGGGAGCATATGTTGTTCTAAAACTTCTATATACTGTTCAGCATTGATGGTGCCTTTCCAGATGTGTAAGCTGCCCACGCCATAGTGGTTGGTATGGTGTAGTGGGTAACACCTCTGCTGTAGACTGGGGTTCAATCTACAACTATGCTTCAATCCCCTGTCTCTGCAAGCACCCTACACTATACCGATAAGATTCCTTGGGCAAGACTCCTAACACTGCATTCGCTTACCTGTGTAAAATGATCTAAGTCTCTATGGATAAGAGTGTCTACCAAATGCCGCAAATGGTTAAAAAAATGGCCATAGGCACTAATGCAACCCCATACCATCAGAGGTGCAAGCTTTTGAACTGTGCGCTGATAACAAGCTGGATGGTCCCTCTCCTCTTGAGTTCACAGGGCACGGTGTCCGTGGTTTCCAAAAAGAATTTCAAATTTTCATTCATCTGACCACAGAACAGTTTTCCATTTTGCCTCAGTCCATTTTCAATGAGCTTTGGCCAAGAGAAGCATTTCGGGATCGTGTTGACATATGGCTTCTCATATTTGCGTTTGTGCATTGCATGGCGAACTGTGTTAACAGACAGTGATTTCTGGAAGTGTTCCTGAGCCCATGCAGTGATTTCCAGTATAGAATCATGCCTGTTTTCAATGCAGTGCTGCCTGAAGGCCCAAAGATCACAAGCATGCAATATTGGGTGCCGGCCTTGTCCCTTGCGTACAGGGATTTCTCCAGATTCTCTGAATCTTTTAATGGTATTATGTACAGTAGATTGTGAGATATCCAAAGTCTTCGCAATTTTATGCTGAGGAACATTTTTCTGAAATTGTTCCACAATTTTTAGATGCATTTTTTCACCGATTGGTGAACCTCTGCCCATCTTTGCTTCTGAGAGACTCTGCCTCTCTAAAATGCTCTTTTTATACCCAGTCATGTGAGTTAGTTACAAATTACTCCTCCAGCTGTTTTTTACTAGTACCACTAATGTTTTTCATGAAATGGTAAAATGTCTCACTTTCAGCATCTGATATGTGTTCTGTGTTCTATTGTGAATAAAATATGTGTCTATGAGATTTGCAAATCATTGCATTCCGTTTTTATTTACATTTATTTACATTTTACACAGTGTCCCAATGTTTTGGGAATTGGGGTTGTATTTTCTTATCTATACTAAAATACGGGTTCATATTATTTTGATGAACAAGCTGAATTAGTGACCTTTTGGCTGCAGATATCAACATTTCACACATATCTCCATAATAGAATATAAAAAAAATACTTTTGATACTTATGTACATTTACAAACAAGTGCTTTTTTACCTTTGCCTTATAATAATATTTTACCAAGACTTTTACTACAAATGTATTGTACTTTATCCACCCCTGCACTGTAGATAAGCAAATTAGCTCATTTTTTTATTATTTTTTTTATTAGTTCAGTACATGTATAGGCTGAATGATGCATGAGTCTGCCTCAAATGCACACTCTTAAGCCCAGCACCCCCCAGGTATCTTGGCCTCTATGTCCACACGTTATTGACGTCTTCAAAGTAAGGAAAAGGAGGACCACAGGGCCAGGGATCCTTTTAGGACAGGCCCCAAGAATTTCAACTAAATTGAACTTTCAAGATTGTTTGGCTTATTTTCACCATCATTAGCAACTCCAAAATGCTTAGAGATGGGATGGCTGCTTTTAGAATGCAATGGACAAATTCCCGATAATTGGTTGCAGTTATGTGGTTACACACGCAAATCATTTACGAGGTTTACGGGAGAGAAGGAATGAAGACGAGGTGGTTGACACAGGTCCAGAGAAGGCACAGTCCCAAAACTGTAAAATTTAAATATTTGCTATTTTGTCATCTGAAAGTCATCATCTGATAAGATGGGACTTTTTTTTTTTTTTACATTACTTCATCTGTAAATATAGTGTTGTAGACAGAGAAATAGACCATAAGAATCTTTTATTGGGTTTGGTGTGGAAGAACTTTACCTGACTATGCTAAGCCCTAGCCGAAACTCCATCAAACACTTTTGAGATTATACACTGCGAGCCAGACCTTATCACTTAACATCAGTGCTGGACTTCACAAATTTTCTTAAGGCTAAATGGAAGCATGTTCTAAAATATAGTGGAAAGCCTATCTAGAAAAGTGGACACTGCTATAGAAGCAACATGGGAAAAACTCAATAATCATGCCCAGGAATTTGGAATGATTTGTTCATCAAGCACATATGGACGTGGTATGTCCACATACTTTTGTCCACATAGTGTATTTCAACATAGAAACACACATAAGCATTAATTAATAGCTCTTTGACTTGAGAATAAACAACTCAAAACTCATAATAGGAAAATATCAAATACATACAACAAAACTTTTTTTTGAAAGTGACAGAATTTTATTACGGCAAGTTCATCCATCTCTCCAGAGATTTAAAATAGCGAGTTAAACATACAAAAAACACGTAACATTTTGTTTTGTATTAAATATGTAAAAAGCAGGTCAAGTTATTCACAAATAAAATGAAAACATGCAACACAGTTTGGGGAATGCATAATGGAGGGATACTGAGAGAAAAAAAAAACATTTTCTATTTATAATAATTATTAACAGTACATATGTTTACATTCCTTTTCATTGTACACAATAGTAAATGACTTGATCTGTGGAGCTCATAATGGAACTAAATGCAACAGCATGAAACAGTTCAGTGAGGAGACCGTTAGTTCTGCTAAGACCTGTATTTTAAAATTATATTAAAATATTTTCAATATACATGTTTTTGTTTCGTTTTTTTTCTTTTCCAGAGTGTGGCAGGCTTCTAAACATAATAAAACATAAAAGAGTGACTTAACCAGATACTATAAAACAAACTACATGGCTGAAATTGAAGTTCAGTCTTACCTAATAGCAATAACCGACTCCTATGTTTGTGAAGTTGAGACAGCAAGCTACCCAAATGGCTTAGATTTCTATATGTTGTATGATGGTCAGGGAGAGCAATAGAGCCATTCTGTCAAATGTACCCCAGCTCAGTTCACCGTTTACTATTGCGATGTGCAGAACTAAGATCTTTTGCGCTCCAAAGCATTACTGGATATTCCTAACATGCAGTTCTATTCCACATATAGAAGCAGAATATTGAAGCAACTGGGAGGCTGATTATGTTCATTAAGATAGGGATCTTACTTAATGCAGAATGTTGTCCTGATT